GCCATTAAAACAAAATGAATATAATCTTATCCTATGTTTGTTTTTTAGTCAATATCACTTGCTTTGCTTTTATTCTTTTTTTTCCAATCTACACTTACATATACAAATAATCCCTTTTCGTATTATCGTAAAGAACATTGTTTTGATACTTATTTTGGTCGTTGTCAAAATCGATAAACCTAGCGATTGAGGTTAAACCATAACATACTGTTTTTAAATACAGCGCAGCTTTTGTTTGTTTTTAAATATCCATATTTGTTTATGTTCTCATGGCTCATATAAACTTGATTGTATTTTGCCGAGTATACCTTCTTTCAGAAAAAAACATTTTCTCCCTAGTTGTCGTTCTTTTAATAGAAATTATGCGTCATTGACCTTTTGTTTACCAAACCCGCAAAGTTTTATTAGTCAGTACATTAGTTAATGGGAGAATAGACTGTTTGTGTTTCTTGTTAACATGTATGTTAATTTTTGACTCATATTTCATTAAAATAGTAGAAATGAACCTGTGGTTAAGTGTTTCAATATATATATATATATATATATATATATATATATATATATATATATAATACCTAACCAACAGCTGATCTCATTTTTACTGTATTTCATCACCTAACCTCATGTTGTATTTTAATGATTTTACTAGTGCTTAATTAAATCACTTTCATTATATCCGACATATTTTTATTTTGTTAAATATTTTACGAACGAAAGGATGACAATTTATCGATTTCAATAAGTTCATTATGTTCTCCTCAACTAACACATATAACTTAATCAGTTTAAATATTTAAAAGATTTGATAAAATATTCTAACATTCACGGAGTAAATTTCTCATTATAGTGCAATGAAATGTTTTTGCAAACAAAATTGTAATATAATTTCAATTAAGTTTTGAGAATGCTTTTACGGAAATAACCGAAATGAAAAGTTTCGATGAAAGCAATTTTATTGCATACTTATAACAAGTATTTAGTAAGATGCGAATAGTTTATGTGAACTCAGTGAATGGTAATTATGGTTGGCATAAAAATGATATTATTTATTTTCATTATCAATATATTTGAAAGTTAACCATTGATTGTTTTTAATTACGAAAGTCATGTTTTAGACGAATTTGAATAGAGCAAATCTTTGTTTTATCATCTTTTTCATCTATCGGATTATTTGCAATCGACAGCAACACCGTATAGATAATCAAGTCATTCAATTAGCTACAACGTAAAACTTGATACCTACCTACATCACTTCAAGCTGCCATTCCACATAGCACAGGGAGATGGGATCGTCAAATTAAACCCCATAGTAGCAGAGGTAGTAGCAGTATAAGTTTTCATGAACAAGATTAGTGATCGAAGATATCATTCGAGAAGTATATCTCAGAAGAATCCTTTTAAAGATGATAAAAAGAGAGAAAAAAAGGTCATGAGTAAATCAATTTCGAATTCGAGACAACACAAGGAATGGATGCATCTGCACCATTGCAAACGATTTCGAGCCATGTCGTTCAAGGTCCTTAACAATCGGTTACTATCATCTCGCGCACCCCAAATCAGGTAGTCTACACCTATTAACATAGCTCAGTCCGGTTGTGAGTGAGCTCATGGATTTGTGCCAAGTTTTGGTCTGGCCGCCTCTAGCTTTCTACTAGTCTACCTCTACTCGCTCGACGAGGTAGTCGGTGGGTAGGCATCCGTAACACATGTACTAACCAACTCAACTTATGAAGCTTCAATACTTTATCTACTGATTTGCCAGCCCTACCTAGTACTCGTTTACTAACAACAGTATTGCTTACTCGGTGGTCCCTCGAAGACATCTATGGTCGAAAACCAGTAACCTACGAATTTCCTCTATTCTTACTGATCGTGTATTGCACCCATATAGGAGGACGGAGAGAACCGTTGCTCAGCATACTCGTCCTTTGGTTATATGGATATCTCGCCTATATCATAAGTGACGCAAGTTGGCAAAAGCCAATCGAGCCTTCTCTATCCGTGCTGAGATTTCGTCACACACCAGGCCCTCAGGAGTTTTGAGACTCCCAAGATAAGTGAAGCGGTCGACTCGCTCAGCTACTTCATTCCCTATCACTAGTTCAGGTGCTGATGCAAGCCAATCTTGAAGCGACATTTTACATTCAGATGCAGAGAATCGCATCCCGAATATGCTTTCATTGTTGCTTAGTCAACAGGCTTGTCTTCTGGTAGAAGGTCAACTCCCGATAAGTTAAACGGTGACAGTGTCATCTTTGACAGCATGTCATTGACGAAGTTGAATAGGAATGCAGAAAGTGGGCAGCTCTGACGGACACCACTCGACGTAGTCAGTTACGATGGCGGTTCGCCATAAGCTCTGACTTGGACAGTTTTGTTCGAGTGGAGAGCCAGTTCAAGGTTGATGTACTTCTTTCGATCGTCTCACAACAATGGACCCTGCTATAGGACTTCACGGTGAAGTCGAAAGTCATTTTGAGGTCAAGGAACATAACGATATTTGGACATCAAAATGTTTTCTGTGTTCTAAGACCTGACGACGTGTGAATATATGATCTATACATCCACGTCCAGGTCTGAAGCCACACTAAAGTTTGGATGATAGGCAGTTTAATCGCTCCCTTAAGTGTTCTGCACATCAATCCAATCTCCTGGATTAAGAATGAATAATAGTTCCATCCTTTTCTGATATAGTCTCACTGACATTCTAATTTCTAATACCGGTTTCCTTGATAATTCTGAACAATTGTCTGCTGTTACCTATTGCTGCTGCCCTTTCCATCTCTCTTGCTTTCGCCACCCACCAATGTTCGTGATCATTGCACAGGCTCTTTATCAGCCTGTGTTTAAGCTGACTCCGCTTTTCATGTGCAAATCCAGGCGGGCTGGGTTTCCGAGCATTTATCAGTTCGGTAGATGCTGCTGAAGTCCACTGCTTTTCTCTGAATTCCTAGGTTTAATTTACTGGCTGATATCACTGCTGTTTACACAGCATTTTAGATATCACTTCAAGCTACTTTAGGGTGAACGTCACTTACATGGTTGCCTAACTATTTTTCTAGTTACTCATGAAATAAACTCTTGGGTTTGCTATGATTAAGTAGAAATCTATTAGGTTTCCTTGCTGTGACTCTTAAGTTCAGTAAGCCGCAGACAAATATGCGCTCGTACTAAAGCATGATGAAATCTAAACAAGTGCTCCAAAACGATCGGTAGTCTTCTATCGAACCTCTATATGATCTAGTTGGGTCCAGCATTGAGTGGATTTTATGAGTCGCCATGTCGAAAGATGTTGTTCCTTATGTTTAAAGTTGGTGTTTGTTGGAAGTAGGCGGTTATCTGAGTATAGTTGTAGAGAACGATTGCCATTATCTGTTCGATAAGAGGTGACACCATATGATCCTTACATGTGTTTTTCCGTTTCGCTTAATCTATTTAATTGAGTATTAAAATCATCAGCCACTAGATCAAACTGCTTAGCTTTTTGAAAGAGGTTGGAAAGCTTTCCGTAATTAATCTTTTACCTCATCTGATCTGTATTCTTTGAGAGCGTTGGCAGGGATGGGGAAAAGGCAACGACGACTGTCCTTATCTTTCTTAGTTCTTTCAGATTCATATAGTCGGACAGCGCATAAACGACTGTCTACTGAAACTTAGTCTAAGAGAGCTAGTTCTACTTTAGAAGTTAATGCTTTACGTACGCAAGCGGGACCACTAGAAGCAACAATAGGGCTTCCAGACAAACGAAGTGTGAATTTCAATGGTTTTATATCTTGAAAAGTCCAGATCAAATGAATCATTTTACTCGAATCCTGTATGCGCGTTTCGGAAATCCAGCAAACATCGGTGGCGTGCGATTCTAAAGTCCTAGCTAATGAAGCTTGTTATCTTATTTGGCACAAGGTTTGGACATTAAAAACTTCAGTATGTAATTTAGAGCTGGGTTTCAGGAGGAAGGTTATTCGTGGAGATAAGAGAGTTATCAAGAGGTGTAGGAAGGATTTGATTGTGAGCAAGTTGATCTCTGGTGCTGTTAATGAAATGAAGGTGGATGTCGTTTCCTGGCTGTCCACACTGTGAATGTGTGTTTCTTGGGGAACGTGAAAAGAAAAGTAGATTAGCGTTGGTCTTAGAGACCTGGGAGCGTGACCGCCGAATTCAAGCGACAACTGCCTGAGGCAGGTCAGGCATGGCCTTTTTATGAAAAATATTTAAAGTGTCATCTCCACTTTTCAAGTGGCCTTACCTCCGGAGACAAAAATCCGTGAGGTTAGGTAAGGTGTAACGTTTTTAGGGTTGACTTTTTAACTAGTTCCTTCCTTGTGAGAAGGCGGCATCGCTGCAAACGCTGGTTGTTCGTGGGAAACATTTTACTGCTGTCGTACCCCTCTACAGTCAGCAGTACGACTTCGTCCTCAGACCTTAAGTAGCTGCTTTTAATCTCACCATTATCCAGTCGACCTGCCTCGCATTTTATAACCTACAGGAACATATGTTTCGGCCAATATAGCTATCTGCTTAGCTTGAAAAATCGTTCTCTTTAAATCGCCTTTACTCTTTGTTAATCTAATTTAACATATTATAACGGGATAACTTTGTATTAATGCACGCTTTCCATCTTATCTAGTCTTCATACATGAATATTAGGATTTATTTGTTAATAATGTTTGTATTTCATTCAACCAGTGCCATATATATATTTAAACAGAACCTTTCATTAGTCTGATGAAATGCCATGAAATAGAAGGAATTCATTTTAACCTGAATACCTTATTGTTCGTTATGTGTTTTCGATTGTTTATTCAATGCATATTTTTAGTTCTCATTTGTTGTTAATACATGTTCTTCGTAAAAAATCCTATCGGAATCGGGAGTGATTGTGTAAAAATTCACTTTTGTTAGTTTTCATTTGACTGTATCGTAAATATTCTTTTATTAAATATAATTTCCTATTGATATTATTATTAGATCATGTTCTTTTCAAATTTTGATCATTACAGTTCTCAAAATGTCTTTATTCTGAAACCGGGATCATCAGTTGAAGAAATGAATACTGAAAACGATCATTTATCAACATCTTCATCATCATCACTATCAAAGCATTCCAATTGTCAGAATGATTCTAGACCTAATTCGTACAATACTTCATCTGTTAACTCTTGTTCTTCCTCAAGTCCAGTTTATCATCATAATTCATTTAAAGCTATTGATCATACAAATGTAGATATGTCTGACAGTTGTTCAACTGTTATTTGTAATTTAACTACTCCTTTCATGATTACTGATTCTTTAAATTTGGTTTCAATTGAATCTTCTGATAATTCTACTATTACTACTACTGATTCTATCATGAATATTGCTTCTTCATCTACCGGCCTGTCTACAGATACATATACAAGTCTGGGTAATCTACCTTTAACAGATTCTTCTTTGGTTTGTCGAAGTCGTTCTTACTTACCTACGCATAGTATGGATTCTCTAGACTTCACTGATTTAACTCAAAAGGTAAGTACTGTGTATGTTTTAAAAAATCTAATTCTGTATTTACTTTTTTTTATAATGCTCCTCTTTTAATATTGTCTTATGATATTAGGAATGCTCGGAGACATGGGTACCTAATCCCTAACATTGTTTCAAACCAAGATAACTAAAATAACTGTTTTCAATGATTCTGGAACTAGTATTGCAGTGAAGGAAAACACAGGTGGGGCGACCGGATTGTATTTAACGAAAATTACAGAGTTACTCAGTAAAATCGGAAAACCATATTGTAATTCGTTAATTTGCAAAATATCAGTTCATCATATCGAACTGGACTGTTCCTGTTGCCAAACATCAATCCATTGTCACTATTCATGCGTTTCATACAAATTCCATTGTTTTCTAACTCTTCCTTTCTTGATCTTCCCCCATCTTCTGCTGCCAGACATTACGTTGACACTCACGTCATATACTACTTATAAGTAGCTCGCACCACAGAATTAGTTACTTTTCCGAGACTTCTATATATTCGTAAAGGAAATATTTGGAGATCGCATTATTGTTAATCTAAATCAGGAACTGATGTTAGTTAGACCATCATCATCATCAGTTCATGGTTTCAACTTCTACCACGATTATATGGATTACCAATGGTACACAAACAAGTTATCCCATTGAGACCAATTCTAGATACTTAAGACTTCCGATTATCATACCATAGCTGAGTGGTTGGTAACTATGTTTACACCACACCACAAAACACTCGTAAAATATAATGTTAAGGACGTGATCAAAAATGTAGACTTCTACATACGTTATTTAGTGAGATGGCAGTCAAACCAAACCTAGTTAATGAAATCACTTATTTTTGGAATAAACTGTTTTGGTTTGACTATCACTTATACTATGATTCCTTCTGCTACAAAACTCATCTTGATAATTTGGTCTCGTGGTAATGTGATGTAACATGAGTCGATGCACGTTTATACCGAATTCCATGTAACTTATGACAAACTAAATGAATGAATCAGACGTAAGTGATATAATTATATAATGTAATTCTGTACCGTTAACAGCAGTCGAGTTCAGTAATTTTTCTCCTTTCATATTGTTTCAATATACTGCTTTCAACTGATTATTCAGTGTCCTCTTATTTCTTATTTCCTCGTATATCAAATAAGTAGATATTGTTGTCGTACTCTGTCTCGATAACATTTTAAAGTCGTTTATTCAGATTAAAACATTTATAATGAAAGTTAAATGAACACAAAACATAGGTGATAGTACTTTCTTTAATGGTTTATTTCTAATTGTGTCTAAGATACTTTTTTCGCTTGTCAATGTGTATATGTTCACATCAAAAAAGGTATAATTGTAGAATATTTCCCTTTTTCTCTCTCTCTCTCTCTCTCTTTGTATATCTATCCTGTTCTCTCATCTGTCTCGTTTATTATTCATTAATATAATAGGAGAATTCTTATTAAATGACAAAAGTGTTGTAAACACAAATAAGTCTGTAAACTCATTCGTGTGCATGAAATAGACAGAGTTAGAGAAATAGACTTGGAATGAACTGGTAACTACTACATATGAATCAAAAATATGTTTATCATATTTGACAGTTTGAATTAAAATCCAACAGAATACTTAATTTAGATATAGTGATAATATAATTTGCCGTTAATCTTCCACCCTACAGTCAATTCAGTCATCTTATTGAGTCAACTATAAACTTACCTTATTGTTCTTATACAATGTAAAGCAGCCATCTTATCATAATCGATCATATTGTGATTATGAATAAATTGAATATATAATAAGATATATTGAAAATCATTTTAATAATTCATTTCTTCAAATAAGTTGTTTTATAATGTATAGTTTTTTTTTTAATCTGTAAAATTATAAACCTTTCATTTGTTTGGTCGTAATCCTTTTTTTTTTCTCACCTCCTATCATCATTATTATTTCTCTCCCTTGTTTCTACTAAGTAAATATTTCTGCTTATGATAGAATAGCAGTTAATTTCTGGGTTTTTCTTTTCACTATGCTTTCTACAACATATTTAAGAAAACTAAATAGAAAATAAGTAGAAATTTTCACTTCAAGTTCACGTCTATTTGCTTTTATTAACCATGAAATCTCAAAATCATCAGGATATCAAAATATACGCTACATTAAACGAAACATTAATGTTGTGGACATATTGGGAAATGAAGCTCGTATCGATAATAAAGTTATTCAACAAAATATTTCACATTAATATTGAACTAAAGAAATTTCGTTTCTTTCAAAAATGCATCATTTTATTGATGTAGAACAAATAACTTTCATAAAATCATTAACTACCTACGTGATCTGTTTAACACAGAGGATTTTTACTAGAACAACTCGTGGTAATTTAGTTAACCATAGTCATTATCTTCTCATAAATTGACTACTTTTCCAAACTAGTTCCACTATTGGTAAACTATCCCCAGTATGGATTCGCTTGAACGTCAAATGTAATATGCATCTAAACTACTAAAACTTTTGTTTCAAGACTGCATTGAATAAACAGGGATATTTACTGTTGCGTTAGCTTAGTAGTTAAATTTTGACTTCCAGTCATTGAACGCAGGCTTTTTTTTTGTTTATTTACACTATTATAACTGTATTTCCGGTAATGAATGCATTGATGACAGAGCTTACGAAAGGTGATAAGATTTCGGCATATATTTCCGGCTCTATTAGTAGTTACCATTAATACAAAGATCACATTCGTATGTTGTAACAATACACACGATGGTTTTTGCATGATTTCCATCACAGTAATTTTTTGGAGACTTTTCATTTCTATGGGAAATTTCAGTGGAAGACCTATCAAACGAGTCATGGTTAATTGAGATTTCTCGCACTATATCCATTGTTTTATAAGCTGTACTTTTTGTTCTGTTCTTTCATCTAGTGTAAATATGATAAAGACAGTCTATTATCTATGGTCACAAATGACTCACCTAACTCTCCAAGTTTCTTGGTGCTAATGTCTAAGTGGGTTGAAGCATTATCTGGCCTACCAGTTGGCGTTGTTGCTTCAATCATGATAAGACAAACTGTCCATCAAGTATCCATGTCCTTACCTTAACTTACTGAACTTTTTTGACCCATAATATTGTACTGTTACTCTGTCAACGTAAACCATCATATACTGGAACATCGCAGTTAGTACATTCAAATAACCCTACAATACTTGAGTTTTTACTACACTTCCAAGTGTGATATCTTCCTTTACAAACCTGTTAGTACAGATATATAATAATAAAAAGTAAAATAGCTGTGCTCTCCGATCATTTCGTGTATTTTAGGGGTCATGTACCAAATAATGTAATAACTTTTTATATGTGTACATTTATTTATATGTTCTCCATGTAACAGCATGTAGCCTAAACCAAACAGTACTGCATTGTATTATATTATGTTTAATATGCATTTATCTATCGGTGTTTGTGCATTACTATTATCGTACCCATAAATATGCATTTGTGTGTAATATGTATGACCTGATGAGGACACTACATTATATATATATATATATATATATATATATATATATTTATATATTAGTTCATTGTTTTTCCTCTCGCTCTCATCGTGTACACATGTACCAATTTTTTTGCCTGATTGATCTATATTTTGCATAACATTCGACCAGATCAATTTAGTTCTGTTCAGTTCACCTCAGTTCATGTTTAAGCATGTGGACATTGCAATTTTTGTGTATTCTGTTAATCCTCCAAGGCTTTTGTACACAAACTCTACATTACATATCCTTACATGCGCGCGCATATATGTACATATAGTTGCAAAAGCTTTTGAATGTAAAATTCAATAAGAATATAATTTAATGCTTGACTATCAGTAATATTATGTTGCATAAATTTATGGCATAAATCATTATCTTTGGTCTTCAATTTCTAGTTCTATTTCTCAACAAAACTTTTATTTTAGAAATAATAATGTCTTGCTCTTATTGTAGTGCTAGGATTATTTATTCATTTCTCTGTTTCGGATATCATGTTAAGTGGTATTAATGATTAAATGTAATAGTTAGACTGTGAATTCAGTTTTGCATTAGTAATATAATGTAGTTGATTTATTCCATGACATTTTTCACTGAACAAAATAACCCAATTGAAAATACTAGTAGTAATACAAGCATTAGATTAAATTTCTACATACTAGTGCCATTTTAAAAATTCAATATGTTAAGCACTCTTGACAATCTCTTTTCTGGTTATGAAAACGTATTGTTACGAGGTTTATGACAATTCCGAAATTAATTAATCGGTATTGATTTATGTGAATGAAGCTTAACTGCGTTCAAGTTGATGATTTTCAATGTTTCCATTTTGATATTTTCACAAATTGCCTATATATTATATTGTTATTCTTAAATGAATATAAATTTTGTAACTGAATATAGTTCGATCTTAACCAAATTCATGATCAGGACTGTTGTAAGAAATCACGATGCTACTGTCCACATACTGTGTGCATATTACTATGTAATAGGATAATATCTACCTATTATTCGATTGATCACTTACTGTCTACACTATTCAACTTTCGATGATTGGTTCAAACACCACCCTGTTTATCCCGATCTGAACAGAGGTGGATAATAACATTAAATCCTCATGTGAAATTCTTGACTTCACACCTCTTAGTGCATGAATTCATACTTGGTTAGTAAGCTGCATTACTGTTGCATTACTTATGTCCTTGACCCGGAGAGGATAGAGCACTATCATTCTATGCTTAAAACTATTATTATTATTGTTTTAACAGTGGACTTAAAGGTGTTGTTGTACGTACATGTATGTATTACTTATCTTTATGAAATAGTTTTAAATCTAAATTATGGATTATTTAAATATCTATTAAAGGGAATAGAAAAATAATCGATTTTAACACTGTCGGATAGAAATAACTTGTCACCTCAGATGTTAAGGTGATTATTGATCTTTATGGATGTTTTTTACTAGTTGTACAGAGTTTAACTTGATGTTTTTTCGTTTTCCGTTTTTTTTTATTTTTCGTATTATTTTTCTTGGTATGTCATGGTGGTTTCTTTGAATTCAAAAACTTACGTATGATGTTTATGTTTGTTTGGATATCTGCGCAATCAATACTTATTACCTGATAAATTTATGTGACTTTATGTAAGTTTGTACTTAAATTCCCACTGTCTCAGGCCTTATGATTGATTAATTTGGTTTTTTATTTTTATTGTGCTCTGAGTATGTTGAATATTAGGGCTCTTCCACAGTCTTACAAAGTTTTTGATCCATTTCTCATTACTGTCGTCTTAATCATATCACGTGTTGTTTTAGGAAAGTCAGTTGAATTTATCATTTTGATTCGTTTCTGCTAACTTTCAGATCTCAGCTTCATTAAGTCAAACCAGTGTAATTTCGGTCTTGTTATTGTAATAATCTGATTTTGCATCTCGTTGTTGGTTTTTCTTAAGAGATCCAGACTGTAAAGCTGACACTTGAAGTCACAGTGTGAGAATAACTATCCTTTTTACCACTTTTCAGCAAAAGTGTAATATCTAGCTTTTTTGAACATTTTTCCTTTCGGTTAGTATCGATCCTGAACATAAGTGTAATTTTCAGTCGGACCTTTTTAATCATTTAAAGCTATCTAAATGTGACTTCGGTGAATACGCTACTGTAGCATATCCCAACTTTGCCAGATGAGGAAAGAAGTAAAGTGAAATTAAGAGCTTGAAATGAAATCTCCGGTTAAAATTACTTTGTCAAATATGGCACTCACTCTCTTAATGAATGGAAAAATACTAAATATTTTACCAACACATTGAAACGTATCCTATCCCCACATTAAATTTAAGGAAGTTTGAAAATTAAATTATTATTGAATAGAAGTTCTCTTTTTGTTGCAAACTGTCCGCTACAACAAAGAACTTCGTTCACAGGTACGTCAGTTCAAGTTGCCATACCACATTAGCACAGAGAGATGGAATCATCAGTTCAAACCCCATAGTAGTAGCAGAGGTAGTGGCAGTATGAGTGTAAATGAAAAAGATTAGCGATCGAAGATATGATTCGAGAAGTATGTCCCAGTGAAATAAATTTAGTGAGAAAAAAACAGTTATGAGGAATTCAGAAGATTAGAGCTTAAGAGAAGACGAAGAATGGACGCATCTGCGCAATTGCAGATGGTTTTGAGCAATGCCATTCATGGTCTCTTATCATCGGTTACTATCATCTCGTGGGTTGCAAACTGTAATATTATATCATAGATTATAAAAAGTGGTGCTGTTGCTTGCGATGTTGATAAGTGAGATTAAATTGCCTTTAAAAATCATCGATTACATTTTTAGATGATTGTAGTTAGCACTAAAATCTGGGACTTTCATCTAATCTTATTCGGAACTTGTAATCTGAATGTATTTGCATCCCAGTGTTGATGCTAGTACCTCAGTGATTATCATTCCAATCTTCAGAGTACATTATCCGCAAAGTTGATAAATCCTAAATAATACTAGATGTAGATGCTGGGTTTCACTGTCAGTCATTATCTAAAAATATAATAAACTTATAACTAGGAGCAATATATACTACTACTACTAGTAATAACAATAATAGTAGTAATAATAGCAAATACAGTTGAATGGATTTATTAGGTTGTCAGTTATCGACGGAACTATTTGGTTATTCGTCGTATATAAGCCAATAAATAAATAGTCTTTTATGTGATAGCGGACATTTTAGACTTAATTTTAGAGCAAAGTATATATATATATCATCCGTAGAATAGAACTTATGATTACTTGAGCGATATAAGAGTCTATTTTTTGGTAATAATAGTAATAATATCGAATAATCTTTGACATGTTTACGGTTTCGCGGCTTGAAGTAGGTTACCAGGTTTGTCCTAAAAAATTGCTACTACTGATAGTCATCATATTACTGATCAAGAGAATGCAAACAACACGTTCACCTTTAATCGTGTATATACATATAATAATTATATTTTTTGAGTTCATTTTCTCTTTCTCTCTATGTTGTACGATTTCGTTTATTCCTCTTTCTTATTGGCTTTGTTATAATTAACAATTGTGCTCAGCAATATTGATGATCATTGGTGTTTGCTGTTTATCTATTTGTGCATATTCACGCAGATACGTGTGTGCATATGTGTATTTCATATCCATACTGTTGACCATAATAATACTAATCATAATATAGCAACTATTACTAATACTACTATTATTACTACTATTTTTGAAACCTATGGTTGAGTCTGTTTTCAATATGATATATATATATATATATATATATATATAAATTATCCTTTATATTTTAATTCACCGTTTATTTTTGCTTCTGATGGATTACTTAGTATAATAATTAATTGAATTTCTTTCTTTATGTTACCAGCTTCCTAGTACCACTACTACAACTACTACAACTACAACGACGACAACAACAATATTGAATTCGATGAGTTTATCATCTATATCCTCATCAGCATCATTATTATCATTTTCTACTGGGATGCGTTCCTCTAATGCAGATTTTGTTGATTTATCGAATTCAGATCCGAAACGTTTACGTTTATGCTTTACAGATGTAAATAATACTGTTTATGCTATGGCTACTACTTCTGTCACTGGTACTACTAACACTACTACTACTACCTCACACGTTGGCGTTAGTGGATGTAACGAAACAGAGGAGTTGAATAATTATCAACAATTTTCATCTCATTTGTTAAATCATTCCTATGATCAGATTTCACACTACCAGGCTAATAATAGTAGTCGGATCCATTCACGTCATAAAACTTCTTCTCCTTTAACATCGTTACCATCATTAACAACAGGTGTGTCTTCAACATCAACCTCAGGTATTTGGTATCCATCATGTCTTGAACTTGTAAATTCTTCTAAATCATCTTTTCTCCCTACATCATCAGAATTACACGACTCATCCGTTATGAATGAATGTTCTAGTTATCTTCAAATTATGGACACAAATTATCACCCCTTAATAAAAGATACTCCTCAGTCAACGTCAGTTTATTTAAATTCTAATCTTGCTACTCTATCATCATCAGTTTTGCGTCCTTCGAATATTGTGTTACAAAATGTCAATGAAAGTGTCAGTCACAGTAATATTACTTGTATTAACAATACATCTATTGGTCCTAACCCTGGTTCTGCCGCTGTAAATACTACTTCTGTCATGAATAACAATGATAATACTTCACAATTACCTTTACATACCGATAATCCTAGTCAATCTATTCCACCTTTTCAACATTATTCTCAACCAAATCCTAAATTACATCTTATGTATAACCAAACGCATGCTAGTTTTTGTAGTCCAGTTGCTTGTGGTTTATCTGAGTCTAGTTTGGATTTATCTGGAAATTTGCTCAACACTACTACTAAGTCTACAAGTAATCCTAGCAGTTCATGTTTACCTTTCGATTTTGATAAAAACAATTCATGCTTCCCCAATAATAATAGTATTAATAACCACTTATATCCATTAACCTCTTCAATGAATGATAATCATTATCATCAAAAGGTACGACAACAAATAAAAAATCCACTCCTTCTGCCTCCACCACCTTTGCTTGCTTCTTTTTCTAACCATCCTTATCCAAACTTTGCTAATGATCATTTGATGAATACCACTACATCACATACACAAATGATGATGAATTCCACCTCTGTAATAGTCGGTTCCACAAGCTCTATGAATCAGCCAAATCCCACAGATTTTATTGATCTTGAATCAGCAAGAACAGATCGTGGTGAATCAGAGGTTGGAGGATCAAGTGAATCCGAAGTATCCGGTGATTATTGTGGCGTCAGAAGAACTGGTGATAATCTTAGAAGTACTAACAATCACAACGATAATAATGTCAATGCTACTAGTAATAATCAGAGCAATGCGAGCTTTGGATTGATAAATAATGAATTATTAGCAAAAACAAAATATGATTGTAACATTAATGATGATGATTATTTGACAGGTGATGATACCGATGGGGACGATTGCACCGATAGTATCCTTGATGATGATGAAGATAATGATTACGATGAAATAAATGAATATGATAATGATGACGATGATGATGACGAAGACTATGATGAACATGATGATGAAGATGATGATGATGAAACGGAAAATGATATTGATGATCCTGATAGAAATTTCGATGATGAACAAGACAGAGAGGATGATGAACTCAGTGGTGCTGGTGTTTGTGGTGTTACTAGTGTAGGAGGAGGAGGTGGTGGTGGTGGAAGAGATATTCTTGATATGTCTGAAGGTACTGGTCATTCTAGTTTCACTTGTTCTACATCATCTTACCATAAATCAGAATATGAAAGTGAATCAAATCATACTGGTGCTACTAACTTTCATCTTAATACTGCCTCTGCGACATCTACTAACAGTAATGCAAATAAGATTAATAACGTTAGTAACAATAATGAAATTTCGTTCAGTAATAATTGTACTTTCCAAGTGAATGATTTTAAATTTGGACAGATATTTACAACGTCAATAGAACATGATTACAAAGTTGTGGAAGTGGTTCAGAAATTTATTCCTGTAAGTCACAATTGTGATAATAATCATAATAATAATTATTTTTAATTGTTAACATCATTTTGTGATTTTAATTTTTGTAAGTAGTATTAATGTTAGGTGATTCAAGGCAACTAATCATAAGCTGTCGATCGTAGGCCACATGATAATGATGGCTTGTCACTGAGACGTATTTGCACTGTCAACGGTATTAATGCTCCTCATACGATTCGAACATATATCATAATAATATTTGTATCACTATTCCATTCATTGGTCAAACAGAAATATTTCACTGAACTAGTCCTGTTTTCACGATATCATATTTATATAGATAAGCTCACTGAATTTAGTCTCTTTATATATAACTGTCATCGGCTCTAGTTCTTAGCAAATAGTTTGAATTTTTTGTAAAGTCAGAATAATCTATTACTGATAATATGTAATTATCCAACAACTTTCTATAAAACTTCTAACGTGTATAAATCATGAAGGTCTATTAAAAAGTGGATGATGTTTTACAAGCATTTCTAGAATATGATGAAATTGTTCAATAAATAACGTTGGTCTTATTCACATGCTTTTTTAACAGAATGAATGTAAATGGCTTCTTCAGAACTCTTCTGAACCCAACTTAATACTGAAAACATTACGTCATATGATTTTGCTTTTAACCCCTTTACTTACGTAAGGGGTTTCATTATTGTTAGTTTCTGGTCAATGAAGCTGTTTGATCCTATAAAAACTTCACTTACGTTAAAAATTAGATATTCACAGATTTGTTATATAAACAGTGCTGGAAGTCAACCCTAGAATAATGCACAAACAAATTAAAATGACAAATTCAAAACCTAGCTAAACACATCTATTTTTCATTTCCAGCCACTATTCCAAAATAGATTTGTTCAATATTTTCTTATAAATTGAATTGCTTAGATTTCTTGATTGTAACAAACAATTTCAAAATGTATTACAATTCTCATATCAGTTCATTGTTTTCATGTATTCTGTTTTTTTTCTCTAGAAATTGAAATATAGTCTATCTGAATTATGCTCATTTTTAAAGTCTAAAAATCTTGAATTAACTAACAATATTGCTACTGCGACACCATCGTCTTCCTCTTTTACATCATCATCATCATCGTCACGAAATAAAATAATCAGTGAATGCATCAATACGGAGCCTATGTTCGTGTCTAGAGAACCATCTGTAGAAAATGCTTCAAACTCCATTTTACCATTGTCACCATCATCATCGTCATCTCTTGTACATGAATCACAGTTGCATAATAATGGCATTGATTCTCAGGGAAAATCGCTAAGTCATTTTGACTCGGCTGAATTCAACGTGCCAATGTTTAGAAATAATAAAATTAATTGTTTTCCAACACTTGGCATTTCTTCTTCTTCATCTACTTCTACTACTACTATTACTCAAACAAATGAAAATAGTACTGCTATAATTAATCGATATCTAGACGATATATTATCTTCCTTATGTTCGTTATTAGAAACATGTTTATTTTATTTAGTGGATTGGATGGCTCAAATAGAATCATTCAAAGTATTACCGGTGAGTTGTGTTTTTTGTAATACAGTCATTGTTTCTTCTTGTTGGCTTTTTCTATCCTCTCATTATTACTAATCTGTGGTTTTTAATGTTGTTATCAACTAAATTTTTCGTAATTACCATCACAAAATTATCTGAAAACCAATAAGTATCGAACATTTGTTTCAGCCTAGTATGGGGCTTCTCAGTAGTGTTCATCCACAATCCCGATACTAGAGATCGAACTCGGAAAATTCGATCTGTCGACTACTGAACCTTGGATCCAACGGTTTACATTTTTGGCTTCAATTAATTTGTAATACACACAACTATCTTTCAATGTTCATGATGGATAACCTCTTACTTTATTGATCCGATTTTTTTTGTTAGAAATAATAGTTTGAGTGGGAATCATCACTTTGCAAATAACTTGTTTTAAAATTACAGTAGGGATAATGAGACGTAACAATAATTTCTTAGTTACTTGTAATTAGTTTGAGACTTGGCACACATTCTGACACATACGAATTTATCAATGCACTACAGCATGTTCGCACAACGAAATGAAATCAACGAGATGAATAACAAATGAGTTGTAAAATTGGTGGTGTCAATGTTTGTTAGTCAAAATGCTGAATATAGAGAATGTGGATCGAAACAGATGAATTAAATGAGGGAATTAATAGGCCTAAGTAATATCGAAACTCAAGGTTTAGATAACATTCAAGGAATATATCTGAGCCGCTCTAACTTACGTTTAGCTATGCCATCTGAAGTTTATTACGATTGATCACGATTGTCGTGCGAATCTCAACCATAAAGTCTACTTTTATCAGCGTAAACCAATCAGTCTGACATTTTATGCCTTCGTGGTCACTGATGATACGCCTTGGTTTGACTGACCCTAGCTTTCAACCTACTCCAGCCAATATTGCACATCAAGGTATACGGTGGTTAGTCATACACGTTACTACGTATCCCAGACATCTTAGTTAATAAAATTCTATTGCTTCATCGATCAGTTTGTTATTGTCACCTGGTATTTTTACATACAGTCAATAGTATTGTTCATTCATTTTTTTTTACAAAAGCCAATGCTAATTTGCATCTATATTCTTGCAGTGAATTTTCCGAACAATAGTTCAACAAATATATATATATATATATATATATATATATATATATATATTAACAACCTACTACCATCACCATTATATTATCAAGTTTGCCTTGTTGAAAATTTTCCTCTAGGTGAATTTTTTCTTATTATCTTCATTGTTATCTCATACATTTACAAATACATTTCATTGCACACACTACTGTACCTACCGATAACCAAAAAATTATTATTCCCATTGTTGTTTTGGTTGCCATTGTCACTATTGCTACTGTGTTTCTTATTTTGCCTAATAACAAAAATAGCTCTCTTCTATGTTTTATTAGTTTATCTTCACTTTTCCTTAAAAAAAGGAAAGAAGGAAACATCGATGACAACAACAGCTTGTTTATCATCCGATTGTATGTGTAGTGTATTGTTTTGTATGTTATTATTGTCACTATTATTATTATTATTATTATTATTATTATTATTATCTGACAACAATAATGAACAATTCGATCATTAATGTGCTGTTATTTACAATTATGATGTAATCATTGGTTTCATTGAATTTTTTTTCATTAATAGCTTTTGAGGTGTGTGAGATTGGGTATGAATCCAGTGGAATAAAACAAAAATTAAGAAATAATTAAGTAATAATAATAATAATAATAATAATTAACTGAATCGATACTAGGTGATTAAATAAACATAAAGTATCAACTTCTCCAACATCCACTTGTTTTTTGTTATGTACATTGTATGCGATTTAATTATATGAAACGTTCATTGTTATTCTTATTAATTTCAATACTGCAAAAAAGCAAACGAAATTTTTATCAATAAGTTATCTAGCTCAGAGAAAGTAACACTATTCATCATTTGAGTTGCAATTTTGCTCTATCATTTCAGTATATTTACTTTATTTCCTCAACTAAAACTATCTAAATGCTGACAATGGGTGTTTGGTTATGATCTAAGTAAAATAAACATCAGTATTAATTTATTTGTTTTTAAATAGAAGAACTCAAAATTATAATTATGAGTATTCACTACTTACCACCTCTGATTGCATAAATGCCTCATAGTTTGTAGTGTGTCGATTTACTGCATGTTCTTAAGCTTGGTAATTAACTCGTTCAGACAATCGTTGCCAAATAGCGTTTGACGGTTTATAAATCAGAAGATGAATTCGTAGTGATGAATACGTTTATTCGGGACACACCACAAAGCGAAGTGGAGAAGCAGTGAATAAAACGAATCAAGCGACGTGAACTGGAGAAGGCTTTGAGCCAACTTCATGGGTTACAATGCGAACGAATGGGCGAAGCGAATTGGAGAAGGCTAAGACCCCAACTCCATGGAGTTGGCTCAAAAGCCTTCTCCAGTTCACGTCGCTTGATTCGTTTTATTCACTGCTTCTCCGCTTCGCTTTGTGGTGTGTCCCGAATAAACGTATTCATCACTACGAATTCATCTTCTGATTTATAAACCGTCAAACGCTATTTGGCAACGATTGTCTGAACGAGTTAATTACCGAGCTTAAGAACACGCAGTAAATCGACACACTACAAATGGTGAGTGCGACGTGATGTGGACACGCACTACAAAATGGTGAGCCTGAAGTGATCAAAATTGGCCACTACAAGTTCACTAAAACCCTCTTTAGTGTCTTACTTCACCTGATACTTTTGTAGGTTATTATTGTTGTTGTTTATTGGTAACCATGTTTCCATAAGATGATAGTATCATATATTTCTTTGTAAATTATTATATATAATATTGTTGTTTTGTTATTTACTATCAAATATTTCAATGTTCAAGAAATGAAAAAACTGTCTGTAGTATATCATATCTAATTAACCATATTGAATGATTGAATTGTGAATTCGACAGAATTGATTTTGACATGAATTGAACTTTTTCATGAAAGTTCATACGTGGTATATTGTATAATGATGACCTTAAGTATAATTGATTTATATCAACAATTTTTCTTATTACTTATATTATTATATGAATGAATAGGTCAAATTGATAATCTAATGTTGATTTGTAAAACTGTATTATCTAGACAAATTATTTTGTACATTTGAATCAGGTACATGGAAATGTTGGATATTGTGTGTAGTTCAACTAGTATATTCAACTAGTCTATACTTTAATGATAATAATAATAATAATAATAATAATAATAATAATTGTAATTTTTGTTAATACCCCAATCAGTAGAAATTTGTATTTTTGTCTTTTTGTAATTTTAATGCATGTCACTTATTTAGAGTAAATAAATATATAATCGAAATAAATTAACACAAGTTTATATATAGAGTAAAAAAGAAACAAAGCAGAATATTTTTAGTGCTATCAAAATGATGATCGATCTGTACCTGTCAATGTCATGTTGTTTTGGTTACTACATAAACTTGTGTTCATTTGTTTCGGTTATTTATCTGTTTACTTTGAAGAACTGATATGCATTAAGTTAAGAAACGCGACAGAAATAGAAATTTCTATTGATTAGGATATCATTAAAGATTATAATAGTTTTATTATTATTATTATTATTATTGTTATTATTATTATTATTATTATTAACTTTCCACCTAATACTCAATAGATAAAAAATAGACTTTAGTTATCGTTCTTAAATGATTATTGGAGCTGGTTTATTTTTGCAACTGTTTTATTACATATTCAGCTGCACTAAACTTGTAAATAAGTAGTGAGATGTAACCTATTTCATTTTTAAGTCATTTATAAGCTATGGATTATGTTGTTTTCCAATTATGATGATGTGTAGTTTACTGATTCAAGCCTTTGTCTTTTGTTGAATTTGTATCATGAATTAACTATGCATCTTTTACGAAAGAAAATATAACTTATGTGTCTTTAGGTCCACTGAAAACCATAATGTACTAAAAGTCGCTGCCTCATTCTTCAACTTTCCTAGGAAAATGTTCAATTACAATTTCGTGTGTTCTACATGCGTCACAGTGAGCATCATACTTTCTAAACCCCATAATCCGTCAATTTTGTAGTAATGAGTTATTGGTTGTTGAAGCATTCAAATCTCAACCATTAAGATGCTAATTCCATTTTATCTTTTTCAGTTTAAGTAGCCATAGGTATTGTTAACAATCTTTTGACAAAAAGTATGACTCAGGCTGTGTTATGCATAAACCTTTATTTCATAATCATCAATTGATCGAAATATAATTGTCTTTTTTTCCCTTACATTTCCTTTTAGGTTGAGGATAAAATGCAATTGTTGAATAGTAGTTGGAGTGAAATTATCCTATTGGAATTTATTCATTTCTATGTAACACATTTAAATAATGTTAAACGAGCAAATACGGTAAGCGAATTTCTTCTGCTTTAATTTGTTCTACTTTTTTTTTTAAAATCTACTGGTATTTTATCAGTAAACTTACATGAATTAGAGTGATCGTTTTTACTCTAATGTAGACTATTTTTTTTAAACTAATAGGAATTCAATTGGTTTTGTTATAGAAATATGAAATATCATGATTAGATCCTTTTCTGTTTTTCCTTGTACAAACATATTGATAATCAAATTGTATTCCTTTAGACAAATAATTTACGTGCTGTCTATTGCATATTGAAATATTTACCTTAGTGTATATCATATAATTGTACGAGCGCTGTATTAAAATAGATAAAGCCCTTTCTATCCTGTGTTAAGTCTCCAAAGTGACAAGATTATGGTTCTTTTGCATATCTGAATCCTTTCGGTTCAACTACAGAAAGCCGAATTTATGTATCCGAAAGAGGTAATACTCATAATTTTTTAACTTGACTATTAATTAGGTCATCTCACACATAAGATACATATTATGTACTTTCACACTCGAATCGCCTTTCATATTTATCTCTTTTCTACTACACGTTTATCTTTCTTACATAAATGTCTTAACACAGTTACCCAAACAATATTTCTCTTACCACATAGTTATGTTCATACATTTTCACCATTGTTATCATTGTAACTCGTTATATTTCAGTTAACCTAGTTTAAATTTTTTTGTGAGTATTTATTGTTTAGGTATGATTTATTTTATTATATTGATTATAACTCAATACCTTACAGCTAATTTTCTTAACCCTTTCTTAAGTGACCTTTCAAATTTATAAACGTTACATTTTGAATGTAATCGATACAAAAGTTCACTTTTTTTAACCCATAACATTCTCTTTAACTGTAAAATTATTGAGATCGATTGTTTGATTAAATATTCCCTGTTTCTGACTAGTTCATAGGGATCTATACACACTTGTAATTCAATTTAGTTGAATGCTCAGTTGTATTTTACTGACTCTCATCACCAAACATTTAACATCTCAACATACGATATGTGAACACTTTGACTAGATGTTACGTTGCAACCTGATCGATATTATTCAATCATCACTAAAGGATAAGCGAAATAGGATATCAGTCACTGCTCACTGATTGGTCAGTTGTAAAATTGAGAATGACGTAACAAGTGACCATATATGATTTCGATAGTTTTTATTTTCAGTTATCTTGGTTTTAATTTTCTCTCATCATGGACAATTCGAAAGATCATTTCATTCTTATCTGTTTGATTACACTTGTTGTTATGATTATAATTATTGAATAGATTTGAGTACCTTTATATATCCAATTTATTATTATTATTATTTTCGCCACCAATACTAATTTAATCTTTCATTCTATTCATTAGATACTAACGGATTCTAAACGACGTTGTACAAATGTCATGGATCCATTGAATAATTACTCATCATTAATTCCAATGAATACAAATTCTATGGGTTGTAATGAGCATAATAACCCATTAATTGCTACTACTACTACTACTACTGCTCCTTTTACTAATAGTACTACTAGTACTACTACTACTGCTACTACTACCAATATTACAACGGCGACGACGACGAGCACAACAACAACATCCTCATCATCGTCATTACTGTATCATTCTTCTGTATCTATGGAAATATGTGATCTTATTGAGAATTTGTTAAATAATCTTTTAGGCGGCATCGATAACTGTGGTAGTGCTGGCGCTGCTGCTGGTGCCGGTGGCGGTGGTGGTGGTGGTCAATCTGAGTTAAAACATAAATTAAATGATTTATTGACAATGTTTCAAAAACTCCAACTAGATAATAAAGAATTTACATGTTTGAAATTTATTGTTTTATTTAATCCTTTAAAACATGGTAAGTGTACTTTTTATTCACCTATAGCATATGTTTTATCATACTACTTTACTTTAATTAATTAAGTAGTATCAGTAGTAAAATTCATTGTTTTCTCCTTAGTAGTCGAACGTGTAGACCGCTTCACTTATCTTGGGAGTCTCATCAGTGCCGATGGCCTGGTGACTGACGAAATCTCAACTCGGATACAGAAGGCTCGATTGGCTTTTGCCAACCTGCGTCACTTTTGGCGTAGGCGAGGTATCCGTTTGCTGACTAAAGGACGAGTGTACTGTGCAGTGGTTCGCTCCGTCTTACTTTATGGCTGTGAAACATGGCCAATGAGAGTAAAAGATATTCTTAGGTTACTGGTTTTCGATCATAGATGTCTTCGAAGCATTGCTCGTATATCTTGGGACACCCGAGTGAGCAACACTGTTATTAGGAATCGGGTGCTAGGTAAGAATGGCAGATCAATAGACGCAGTAGTGACGCTTCATCAGTTGAGGTGGTTGGGACATGTGTTACGTATGCCTAACCACCGACTGCCTCGAAGAGCTTTGTTTTGTAGTGTAGGAATAGGTTGGAAGAAAGCTAGGGGCGGCCAAACCAAAACATGGCAGAAATCCGTGAAGTCATTGACGAGTGGACTTAGCCATGTTGGTAGTTGTCGACTACCTGGTTGGGGTCCGCGAGATGATAATAATCGATGGTTAGAGACCTTGAATGACATGGCTCAAAATCGTTCGCAATGGCGCCGGTGGATTTATGCTTTGTGTTCTCTCAAATCCTAATCTTCTGGATTCTTCAACACCTCTAGTTTTGACTTTCTAAACTTTTCTCATTGAATCATACTTCTTGAATAATATCTAATCCTAACCTCTTCGATTACTCCTAATACCTTTACTACTTATTATACTATTGGATTTGAATTGATAATTACATTTCTGTGTTGATGTGGTATGGCGACATGAACTGATGTACTTACGTACGAAGTTCTACGTTGCATCTGACTGACTGACTGACTGACATAATATTTACTGTTATTTTAATTATGGTTTTTATAAATTTCTATATTTCATCACCTCTCCTATGTCATTGTCATTTCATGCATAATGATACTGTTCATTGAATCCTTATGGATTTCAAGATGAATGAGAGAAAACAGTCACAGTTTATATAAAACACCATCTGTAGAACTTTAACAGCTAATATTTAAATTAATGGATTTAGAATAGCAGAATAATGATTGATTCACTCGATTGAATCAGCGAACTAGCTCACGATTGATTTGATGCAGTTTAATCAATGTTATTTATTGTATCCCGAATAGATGATCACATCTTGTAACAATGTGTCTTTCTAACAATTCAAGCAGTTTAACAGTATTATATAAACAAATTATTCTCATGAGCAATAATTGAAAATAACTCATTCAGTAATGATATTTGATTTTACAGATGTTTACAGTACTTATTACCACGATTATTACTGTATTCTCGTAGGAAGTGAGTGGTTTTGTCAATGATTTCTGATAGCGATTTCGGTGTATGTTTACTGATTGGCACACTAAATTTACCTGGAATTTCTCGTATACATACACCTCACAATGTTTAACACCTAAGTCGTATTTCTAAAGAAATCAACAGTTTAGTTTAGATCTGAACTAGTTCAGATCTATTATATTTGACGTAAAATCTCAAGTGCTCGACTCGTTTATTTCCTAGTTTTCCATATGATTTGGTCTCCCATAACACTTAATAGGCTTAGTATTGATATAATTTTAAGTTTTGTGCTAAAACTCCAGCTTCTGCTCTTCAATTTATGTTACTTGTACCAACCGATTGTTTAAACACTATTCACTAACTTTAAATATACAGTTGTAAGTATTCCACGAAATTGCTCAGTTCATTAATTGTATTTCGCATTAAATTACCTTTTTTGTCTTGAATATAAGCAAATATTAAATTTCTTATTACTGCTCTTAATTATACTAAAGTAATAATAATAATAATAATACTGAAATCCAGTTCATGTGTTTGTATTGTATTATAATTCATCTTATTAACTTATGAATAGACTGTACTTTCATACAAGTTTCTTGTTTCCCCTTAAAACATCGTTTCGAAGCAGTCGAATATCCTTAGCATATTAATATATATTTATATTATAAATATTTGTAGAATATTTAGTCTGATATGAAATGATGTTATTGTTTTTGCTAACATAAGCTTCTTTTAATATTCACGCAATAATAATATTAAAAAGTAACAATAACAATTATAATGAAATGCACTGTCGAATAAAGTAAAAACAAATGACCTTAAAAAGTATCTTACTGATAATTTTGCAAGTTAGTTGACCTTAAAATAGTTGAGAAAATGGTTAAAGTAATTTGCTATTATTCACCATTTAGATATTATCATTATAACGTTTTTATCTTTTTTTTATTTTTTTTTCTGGAACTTAAACTATCATATCATTGTGGTTGTTTTCTCTTGTTATTATTATTATTATTATTATTATTATTATTCAAGTCGAATAAATCATAATTTTGTTTTACTTTTTCATAATACTTATTCAATTTAAGAGAAAATATAAAAACAAAATGCAAGGCTAATCCGACAACATCTTTTCCCCCACTCTAATATGTATATCATTTGGGCAAATTAACTTATAACATCTAATAGATTATTTGTTAAGATACACTATTTACCACCTACGGCAAATAAATTGTCGAATGCTGGATTTTTTTTGTTTATACCTTTTTCTTCTGGAAAAATTCATTCGAGGAGTTTCTCACAGTCATCAACAATTGGTTTTTTCTACAGGATTCCTATTTTCTACATCCTCTTCGGATTTATTGTTCATGAACAAAAGTCTTTTATATTGTATGGACACTTTTTGTTCGGTTTTTCAATTTTAGGTCGATATACTAGAGAGAAAAGCAATTTCTACAAGTATTCGTCCAATTATCTTCAATTTATTGTCAGTTGTGTCTTTTGTACATATTTATTTAACTGTCAGTATAACCGTTTTCATGTTAGCTACCTATATATATATCGACATTTTATGAAGAACCGCCTAGTCTTCATTTTTTCAAATTATCGAGAAAATGAAATCATGAGTTCTACTTGCGATTCTAATGTTAACCTAATCTACTGGTTACAATTATTGAGTACTTGTAGTATAATATCGTAGTCATTATTATTATTATTATTATTATTATTATTATTATTATTATTATTCAATACTGTCTGTCTATCTGATAAACTCATAGAAAGCAATTTATCTCTCCGGGTTTGTTTTTTTTAAATTTTCAGATACCTTTTTAACATCGAATTTAAGTTATGCATTGAAAATTCAAGGGAAATTTTGTCATTTCTTATTGAAACGTTCACGACGATTTCTACGTTTAACAAATGCATCAAATCAATCTCAAAAACTCAATCATACATCGTCAAATGAATTAAATACTATACTTCTACCTGATAGATATGGTCAAATTTTATTAGAATTAGCAGAAATTAAATTTCTTGCTTTCCAATTAGAAAGTTTTTTACTTGTACGATATAGATTAGGTAAAATACCGAATGAAAGTTTATTAAGTGAAATGTTATTAACAAAACGTAGCCGAGTGTCACATTCTACGCAACCGTCTTATGGTAATCTAATGACATCACCAATGAAATCACCACCGTCTACAACATCATCTCATGCAATGCCAACAACACGTCACTTTACATATACCAATGTTAATTCAAAAGTTATTCCTTCACCGTCACCTTCATCATCTATAGATGCTGATCGTCGATCAAATGATGAAATGATAAAACACTCTAATGAAGCTTCTTCTTCTTCACTATGTATAAATGATCTGAATAGTGGTGGTACTACAATGATGATAAATTCTTCGGGAAATTTATCTAACACGTCATTCACTTCTTTTTCTCTTCCTTCAACTCTTTCACTTACTTCTCTTCATTCGTCTAATTCCATTCATCAGTTGAGCAATAAAAATAACAATTGTGATAATAATGATTCATTAATTTTTAAAAAAATTGATTCACAATTGTCTTGTACATCATTTCTTAATTCTTATACTAATTCTCCGTTATACACTCCTACTACTACAACTCAATTAGTTTATAATCATTGTTTCATTAACAATGATAATCATGTTACTACTACTACTAGTACTACTACTACTACTTCAAATCATAATAATAACACTTTTAATGAACAACTACACGAGTCATTGTCAACGGTAACAACAATACCGGCGACAACAACATCACTTGTAAACCATACCTCAATATTATCATGAGAAGCATTTGTTCGTTTGTGCTTTTTGTTCCCCTTTTCTCCTTCTTTTATTTTTCTTGTGTTTTTCGCCTTATTTATAACTTCATATTCGTGTCTATTTGAAAGAGAAAAGAGCATCAACCATAATTAATCTTTTCTGTAGACAGATCGTCGCATAATTCCCCCCCCCCCTATTTATACATTAATCAATTAATCAATCAAGGCAGGATTTTTTTTCACCACTTCTTTATCACAGTACTTTCTGTCCGATTATTTTTGTGTGTGTAAGAAATTTTGTTTGTTTGTTTTTCTTTTCTATGTACCTGTTCTTATCTTTACGCAGTGTACACTATGTGTAAATATATTTCGTAGTTTTGTGTACAAATTATTTTCCTTGTTTGTATGTGTGTATATCTTGAGTGCATTTTTTTTTCTGAGACAGGCTAATAAGCACATATATTTGTGTGATTGCTTATGTCCACTTATGTTCAAACTCAGGAGTAACCAAGTCTACCTCGGGATTTTTTTTCAGTATCATGTGATAGGTTTCTCGTAGTAATATTGATAATAATAAGAGATGGGGAAATTTTTTGTCTATCTAACCATTTTTTTTCTTGCAAACACCTTTCTTCTTTTCACCTTGTTCACCTCACTGTATGAAAGTGAAAAAAGGGCATGTAGTAAAGTGAATCATTGAAAACAGTTTATTTCATCCATTGTGAAATATTTGAATTTTTGTTTAATTAGTACGTAACTGAAGTGTAGACCAGCACTGAAATTGGGATTAGGAGTTAAACGATCAATTCTATTGTTTCTTTCTTTTCATATTTCCTATTCCTATAAATCCATTGAACCCTAATTTCATTGTTTCCCTTGTAGTTCAATTGTTCTTGCCCCAACCTCTAGCTTCCCCTGTGTACTTATTCTCTTCTTCCATTGTTTATTAGGTAAAACAAAATTGTGCGTTAATATTGAAGAGACCACGCCTTTTTTAATTTATTTGTCCTACTTTATCTTTCTTGTCATTTGTTTCTCTTCTCATCTTCCATATGCACACATGTACACTCTTTGTTCAGGCAGCTTTACATGTTAATCACTTATTCAATTTTTTTGTTTAAGAAGAATTCGAGTTTTTTCTTCTATAAGTATAACGTTTTATCATGATGAAAACGGCGATTATCATACTCTTGTTAACCTAATCAGAGGTAGCCAAGTCTGCTCTCTTCATCTAACCTTTTGTATTGTAACTTTTATCCTTGTTCTCTTTTTTACTGTCTCCCACATTCTTTTTTTCTATTCAACCTCGAATCACTGTTGCCTGTTGGTGTTATTCACTCTTTCCTTGGCTATCATTAATATCGCTACTACTACTAGTATTATTATTACAAATGATTGAAGCGAAAATTTAAAAATAAATAAAAATGAATTTTGTGAATAAATTTGTTGTTTTTGATTTCGATTGATTTCTTCAAGAAAGCACTGAATTTCCTTTTATTTATCTAGTTATATGCATGTGTTTGTTTGTGTAAGTGATCATACTTTCCAAAGGAACCATTGATAAAATTATTGGAACATTTGATGTGACTGAGTTATCAAATTTTTTGCTAGTCGGTTACTTGTACCGCAAGCCAACTGGTTAAATATGTACTACAGAATTCAAATTCTTAGCTAGACGTAAGCTGTTCAACCGAAAATTTCAAGCCAGGAGCTATCTGGACTCAATTGGTAAATGGAGAACGCGTTGAACTTAGAAGTGAAAGGTACTGGGCCCAATTCTAAGTGCATATTACATCTAGCTGATGAGTTCTACCTGTATCGAAACATGCGTCCTGCATTTCACTACTAACTACCATCAAAACTGTTCAGTCAAAATATTCCGATTTATTGCGTGAAACAGCGATTAGTCAAACATCAAAATGATTGGCACTAATTAATCTATAGCTCATTTTCACTTCTGCTCATTATACAGCTTTTTACCAAATCATCTGTTGATCATGATCGTGATATTTGGTTTGAAGTTATGGTTTAAAAACTTTAGTTCATGAATGGAGTATTTAAAGGTCACATGTAATAAAATGATGAACTTTATGATCTCAGATGAAAAGTACTTAGTGAGGATCATTAATTCTCAGTTACGTAGTCTATAAGTAGCACCATGAAGATTTTTGTACATCTGTGTATTTAATCATAGATGTCTTTGAAGCCATATTCGCATATATTTGAGGTTGGACGCAGCATACTAATATAAAATGGTAAATTGGTTAATTAAATTGTGTTTTTGTCCATGGAAGTGGTTAGAATCCAGATCGTAGCTGCTACCTTGACCTGGTGGTCGGGCTTGCCTATCGTGATGACCCAACCGAGCTATATCGGCTGGAACATATGTTCCTGAAGGTTCTTCCATGCCAGGCAGGTCGATTGGAGAACGATGAGACTAAAAGCAGCTACTGAAGGTCTGAGGGCGAAGTCGTACTTCTAACTGTAGAGGGGTGTGACAGCAGTAAGTTGTTTCCCTCGGACAACCAGCATCTGCAGCGACGCTGCCTTCTCACAAGGAAGGGAGTGCTAGAACAGGTCGACCCTAAAAATGTCACACCTCATCCTACCTCACGGATTTCCGTCTCCTTGGGTAAGGGTGCCCACTAAGGGCTTTGAAGAGCGGAGCTAATACTCAACAAACCTTTCATAAAAAGGCCTTGCGTGACCGGCCTCAAGCAGTTGTCCCTTGGACTCTGCGGTCACACTCCCAGGTCGTTAAGACCAACACTAATCTACCTTCCTTTTCAGGTTCCTCAAGAAACAACCTTCCATGGTGTGGGCAGCCGGTAAGTGACAACCGCCCTCATACCCGTAACAGCAAGCGAGACCGAATCGGTCAAAATCAAATCCTTCCTACACCCCCTAATGTCTCTCTTATCTCCACGACTAACTCTTCTCACATTCCTTTATCTCCCTGCACCTCTGCTGCAAACGATTCGAGTCCTCGAAACGTTATTCCTGCTCTCTTGAAATCCCGTTCTAGACTACATGTCTGAGCATTTAATGTATGGACATTATGTGAAATAGGGCAACAGGCTTCCTTAGCTAGGACTTTAGAATCTCGTTATTTCGATGTATGCTGCGTCTCAGAAACGCGCATACAGGATCCTAGTGAAATTATGAATCTGATTTCACCTTGTCAAAATAAAGAAGCAACTCAATTTACCCTTCGTGTATCCGGCAGCCCTGATGCTGCTTACAGTGGTGACGCTGGTGTAGGTATAGCATTGAGTCGTAGAGCTGAACAATCTCTCCTTGACTGGATCCCAGTAGATAGTCGCTGGTGCGCTGTCCGACTAAACGGGACAGTAAGGACTCGGAAGGATAGGGACACTCGTCGTTGCCTCTCCATCGTATCTGCCTATGCCCCCACTGATTGCAGTTCAGACGAGGTGAAAGACCAGTTCTACAGAAAGTTTTCGGACCTCCTTCAAAAAGCTAGGCGCTATGATGTAGTAATAACGGCTGGTGACTTCAGTGCTCAAGTAGGTAGACTAAGTGAGCAGGAAAGACACCTAGGTGGATGTTATGGTGTCGCAGCTCAAAGAACAGACAATGGAGACCGTCTGTTGCAAGCATGCTCAGATAACCGCCTATTCTTAGCAGACACTAACTTTAGGCATAAAGAAAAGCATCTGTTGACCTGGCGACCTCCAAAGTCGTCTCAACGTTGGACTCAACTAGATCATATCACCACCACCCACCGATGGAGGGGTTCGATAGAAGACTGTCGCTCGTTCTGGGGCACATGTTTAGATTCAGATCATGCCCTAGTTCGAGCTCGTATTTGTTTTCACCTTACTGGAAGCAAGCAAACCTCTTAGGGCTTTACTTAATGATAATGTGGCTAAGAAAATATTTCAGGGGGAACTAGAAAAACAGTTAAGCGACCGTGTAAGTGATTTCAGTTCGGAAGCAGGTTAAGAATAATATCAAAAAGGCTGTGGAAACAGCAGTGGTATCTGCTAGTAAGGTAAACCATAAAGCTAGGATGAAGCCGTGGATCTCAATAGCATCTACCGAACTGATGGATGCTCGAAAACTCATCCCGCCTTGCTCTGAGTACGATGAGGAGCGGAGTCAGCTTAGACGTAGGCGGACAAAAGGCCTACGCAAAGACCGAGAACGGTGGTGGGTGGCGAAAGCGAGAGAGATGGAGAAGGCAGCGACGATAGGCAACACTAGACAACTTTTCCGCCTTATCAAGGAAACTGGTATAAGGAAGCCGAATGTGAGTGAGACTATTTTAGAAAGGGATGGCTGTATCATTTATTCTCAATCCAGGAGATTGGACCAGTTCAACCGGTCTTCAGCAACACTTCAGTTATTCGCGATCCTTAGTAATCCTGAATGGCAAGTCGATTTAAGTCCTCCCAGTCTACTTGAAGTTGAGAAAGCTATAGGAAATCTGAAGAGAGGGAGAGAAGCGGGTCCTGATAGTCTTACCCCTGAGATGTTTAAGGATGGTGGTCCAGTTTTAACAGTTTGACCGAGATCTTCTGTAAAATACGGGAACAGAGGTAATCCCATCCGACTGGTCCCTGTCGCTAATTGTCCCAATCTACAAGAAAGGACAAAAGTCGTCTTGTGACAATCTCAGGGGAATAAGTCTAACTAATATAGTTTCTAAATTGTTAGCCTCCATTATACTTAGACGCCTTACTAGTACTCGTGAAGAGCAGACTAGAGAAAACCAGGCTGGTTTTCGACCTGAACGCGGCTGTATAGACCACATCTTCACACTAAGACAGGTCCAGGAACACAGACACACATTTAGACGTCCTACAATAGTTGTTTTCCTGGACCTTAAGGCTGCATTTGACTCTGTGGATCGTGAGGTTCTGTGGCAGTGTCTGTCATTGAAAGGTGTACTAAAGAAGTACATTAACCTTATACAAGCTCTCTACTCGAACACCACTGGTCGAGTGAGAGCTTATGGCGAACTGTCACCGAAATTCTTTACATCAAGTGGTGTCTGTCAGGGCTGTCCACTCTCTCCATTCTTGTTTCATTTTATCATAGGCATGCTCTTAGAAACAACCATATCCTCGTCTGAATTTTCAGGAGTAGACCTTTTACCAGGTGGCTCGCTTATTGACTTAGAATATGCCGATGATATAGTCCTACTTGGTGAAGACGCTGACAAAATGCAGAGTCTTCTGACTACCCTAAGCAACAATGCGAGCATGTTCGGGATGCGGTTCTCACCCTCGAAATGCAAAATGTTGCTTCAAGATTAGTTTTAATCGCACCTGAACTAGTGATAGAGAGTGAAGTAGTCGAACGTGTAGACAGCTTCACTTATCTTGGGAGTCTGATCAGTGCCGATGGCCTGGTGACTGACGAAATCTCAACTCGGATACAGAAGGCTCGATTGGCTTTTGCCAACCTGCGTCACTTATGGCGTAGGCGAGATATCCGTTCGCTGACTAAAGGACGAGTGTACTGTGCTGTGGTTCTCTCCGTCTTACTTTATGGCTGTGAAACATGGCAAGTGAGAGTAGAAGATATTCGTACGTTACGGGTTTTCGATTATAGCTGTCTTCGAAGCATTTCTCGTATATCCTGGGACAACCGAGTAAGCAACGATGTTATTAGGAAACGGGCGCTAGGTAAGAATGGCAGATCAATAGATGAAGTAATGAAACTTCATCATTTGAGGTGGTTGGAACATGTGTTGCGTATGCCTAACCACCGACTGCCTCGTCGAGCTTTGTTTTGTAGTGTAGGAATAGGTTTGAAGAAAGTTAGGGGCGGCCAAACCAAAACATGGTAGAAATCCATGAAGTCATTGACGAGTGGACTTAGCCATGTCGGTAATTGTCGACTACCTGGTTGGGGTCCGCGAGATCATAATAATCGATGGCTAGAGACCTTGAATGACATGGCTCAAAATCGTTCGCAATGTCGCCGGTGCATTTATTCTTTGTGTTCTCTCAAATCCTAATCTTCTGGATTCTTCAACACCTTTAGTTTTGGCTTTCTAAACTTTTCTCACTGAATTATACTTCTTGAATAATATCTTATCCTAACCTCTCCGAATACTTCTAATTCCCTTACTACCTCTTCTACTATTGGATTTGAATTGACAATTATATCTCTGTGCTGATGTGGTATGGCGACATGAACTGATGTACTTACGTACGAAGTTCTACGTTGCAACTGACTGACTGACTGAAGTGGTTAGTATATGTATTGCTTATAGGCAGCCATTTTCTTTCCCGGCGCGGGATATTTCATGGTCTCGAATTAATTTGGAAGAAGTTTATGGACTGCCAAACCATGATACGTTGCACTCCATAAAGTCACTGACTGTCGGACTGAACAATTTTGCCAGGTGCGGACTGTGTGAATGGCGTCCACGCAGTTATCGCACCCATAAGCTTTAGGTGTTTTGCTACTCAGCTAAATGTCGATGATGCAGTTGTCTTCGCTCCTTATCTTCCTTTAGATCCAGAGTTTTAAGATTATGTCTTACCCCCTGTTCCTCGAATCAATTCTTTTTCAAGTCATTCTCTAATTCTATCCCTTTTAAACGATCACTGCTCCTACTTCAGTATTCACCTTCATAATCTAATTTCGTTGTAGTGATATCGTATGGCGATTTCCGTCCTTTCATATTTGTGCCAGATTATGTTGATTATAACTGACTGGTGACTAATAGTAGTGAACTCTTTTATTGAGATTATACTTAAATTTAGAATTTATCCATTTATCTCATTACGTAAGGAGACTATCAGCTACTACTCCCTAAGTGTCAGTCCAAACAACCTTAGACAATTTGGAGTCCAGCCCAAATGTCTGAGTTGCCGCAACATCAACGATGCGGAATAACTATCAGGATACTAATTCAATCTGAAATGGATTGGATTATCTCGTTGTTGATATTTTGACTGAAGTCTGACTATGCTTGGTTGGTCATTTATGCATCCTATTCGAATCGTCTCGTTCTGATCATTGTGACTCCTAGATACCACTGCTACTCATATCTCATCTATTCTATGCGAAAACCAAGTTCGTAATATTAGTAGTATTAGAGATAATATGAAGTACATTAAAAATGGAGAATATAATCATAAAAGAAAATATTATTCTACGGAATAAAATGGATGGAATGATATTGATCATTATTTATTTAAGAGTAGACAAAGAATATTTGGACTTTCACTTCTTCGGCCTATTTTATCACACGACATCAATTTTCCCTATTTTCGCTGTCATCGATTGGTGTAAATAATAATACCCCTGATGGATGAAAAACTATGGCAACTTAGTCTCATGTAATACTGATTATGATTGACAGGGTTGAAGGGATAATTTCACTCATGATATTTATTTTCAAATATCATGTGAATAGATTCTAGGAGACTTAAAATGTATTCGGTTGTGTATATTGTATTAATTCATGATTATTGTTATTATATTTATTTGTATAGAACATTTAGCTGAAGTAGTATATCTTAGTTGTTTCATGCACTGTATGTTCAATATATTAATTATTCTATCGCATAAGGCTACTCATAATTCACCTTTGTAACTGTCAGCAACGATTGGTCTTAGTATTTTGGACCTTAAATTACGAACTGACTTTATTTAGTTAACCGTTAATAACAAAGAGAATATGGAATAAGTTTTTCATTCTAACATGATACATTTTCACATTGCACATCTACCAGTAATCGACTGCAGGAACTTCAGGTCTCCTGGCAAGACCTTAAAACTTCTGGCAACTTAGTTGGGATTTGTATTTCCAATTTCAGTCAGTTGATTATGTTCTACTACCATTACTCATTGCTATTAGTGATATATTTATCTCACCCTTAACATAGGTGAATTTGACTGGTCACAACTACTACATTAGATCTTGGGAACTAATTCTCGAAAATAGCCTCTATTAATTATAGCCACTAATATATGTCTTCATCAAGTTTTTTCCTCAACGCTAATGACCACTATCACTATTAGTAAATATTCCGAGTTTAAATTTCTCTTTTAGAGATCATTGGATCATGCAAGAATGTTCGAATTTGAAAAATTTATTCCGAAATGAAGAAGAACTGAGATCAATTGTTACTAAACTAGTTTGTTCTGGTGATGTTTCCAATTTGAAAATATTATCCCAACTAATCAGTACAAGTAAACTCGCAGAGATTAAGGATCATAAACAGCGTAACTTATTACATATTGCTTGCAAGTATGGGCATCAAGAGATGATTAAGTAAGTTTCATTCTTATTTCTCTTTGTTTTTTGAATTTTATTATATCACATCTAGAAAGAAATTTCTTTGAAGTTTGTTTCTGAAACTCTGAAAAGTATGCGACAGCAGCGAAATCAAAATGCAGAATGAGCCCATTATGTCACTGATTTAAGAACAGAGACATGTTAGATGCAGACTTCTTGGTTGAGGGTTAGAATAGCAATGGAAATCAGTGATTGGAGACGATGAGTTTGATAACTTTAAATAGTTCATTGTGACCCAGATTCACCATCTCTTTATCTTAATCTCGTTCTCAAGTCTTGATATTACTATATGAATACCTTTTCATTCTCTCTTTTCATGTTATATTACAAATGTTCAGTCTCTTATTAACGTTGCCACTACATTGTTTCGAGTTCTTTATCATTCAGCTTGTTTGTTTCACATCGTTGTGCTGGTATGATACGGTCGTTTGAGTTAAGGCATATTTGTATCAGGCTCTGTGTTGCTTATAACTGACTGAATGGGAATCCTTGCCCATTTCGGAAATTAGAGTGTAAATAACTGATGACTCTTGATAAAGATCATTCTATGGATTAAAAATCAGTCGAATTTAAATATGTGTTCTACTGAATTGCAACTCAATGATTTGTGAAGGTATAATGGTCACTTAAAGACTGGAAAGTTTTTTGCGTTCTATCCATGGTGGAGTTATAGATATACAATGTTGAAGACTAAATAACTTTGGAAATGCTTGATTTTCAGTCGTCCTCCAACCGATATCAGTTTTTGATTACGACTACCACTAGGCATAACATAGATATCTAATTACCTCAGTAAATTTTCTCTTTGTACGTAAAGGTTGTTAAGTTCGTTTGTATTTTCCCTTTATTCTGGTCTCATTCGATTCATTTCGTTGTATTGCTTTATACTACTTGTAAATATTCAGTAAACAGTTCTATTTCCAATAATCTTTGGGTGTATGGTTTAACTCACGTTTACTATTGAGTAATATTGTTAGGCGTTCACATAAACTAGTGATATTTACTATATTTATCGTCGAATATATTTTGATCGACCTTTGTAACGGTTACTTTCAGTCTTTGTGCATTCCTTAAATCTCTGCCTAAACGTTCATTATTATGTCTCCAGTCTTTCAAATGTTGATAGTCAGTGTTGACATTCGAAACAACTACCAGCTGTTGTTAACGATATCGTCTATTGTAACAAACTTTTATACAGTCATTGTTGGAAGTTTTTCCCTTTCTCAGTAACAGATGCGTTTATTGCCACAGATTCCCTACGGGTTCAGGTTTATAACAAATTTACATGTAAATTGCAAAAATAGAAACGTTCTTTAGATAGATCTTTGTTCTGAACCTTGATTTTACCTTTATATTAGTCATGTCATTAAATGCTTCGATACATTTAATATTAGTAACATGTACTTTTTCATTCTTTTTAAGTGTGGTTAGTTTGGATGGAGCTTTACATTAAATTTATTATTTTTAAATAATAATTGAAGTTTTCTTCTGTTTATAAGAATGTTATTTTAATACAGTTTAATTCATATTGCTGTCAATTTCGATACTTCAAAGAAAGTCGACTGTTCAATTTTCTATTGTCGACTTTAAAATATGTTATAGTTCCTAATTGGTTTGGATTTTCACTCATTAAAAAATAACAGATGTATCAGTTTGTTAGTTATAGTCTCGTTATCACCTGGCTTAAATGTTCATCAGCTCTAAATTCCCCTAGCACAATGAAATGAAGTTGCCGAAATAAGCTGTAATAATAATGGTTAGAAAGACTTAACATTGAAAATTTGGCTCGTTAAGATTTACTTAGAAGAGGATATATCTGAAAAAGTACGTCATCAGTGTTTCTCGCTATGTTGCCCCACCACAGGCAAACAAAGTTTCAAAACATCTGTGATCAAATATATATCTTCCAATTTTACATGTCATGTTTCGCGGTTAGAGTCATACAAAACTGACTGCTATACAGTATATTCCCTCCTGGATTGAAAGATGGTCGTCTCATCTACACTGCAAGAGACTGAAATTACCCAAGAGTCGAGGATGCTTTCTGAATCCGTGCCGAGACACTATCACACTCGAGTTAACAAAATTTCCTACAAATTCTCCCGTTATCACTCAAAGCATTCAGAAGATGATGTATCTTGTTACAACCTTTGATAAACAAAAACATATTTACGTACGTTTCTTGGATAGAAATCAATTTCCTAGAGAAGTTGGATGACTCTTCATTTCTTACACCATTAATAAATACACAAAGAACTGTTCCAATGAAGTTCAGATGATATGCTCATAAGATATACTTAACTCATATTAAAAAAAACTTATTATTTCTTATTCCAGTTATAAAATTGTTAGAAAATTTAGAAATGAATGAACAATGCATGAAATTCATTAACTTGTACGGTAATTGAACTGAAAACCGTGTAAACATAATACTTGAATTAGCCAGCGTTGAAAAGGTTATGAATCACTGCTATACACTTTGAAACTTTCAGAATCTGAATAGATGGATTCAGTAAATTCAAATAGTAACTTACTTAACTAGCATTTCACAACTGACTACCATCTATTTTCACAGATGTGTAAAAAATTGACAACAAATTTTTTTCCCCACTCCTTTTTGTACGATCCTCCTAGTTTTATTTTCTCTGCCTCTGTCTCCTGGTTTTAACCACTTAGGTATCTTGTTCAAAATTTATGTTTACCAGTTACAAAAGTTGATCAATCTGGAAATAATCCTGCACATATTCTACTAATCTATACTCTGAAATCGATTAAAGCAAAACCTAGAAAGAAACGACGAAGGAATTCCAAATGTATCGTCAAGAATTATATTAATTGTAAGTAGATTTTTCCACTAAGCTTTGTTTCTGTCCGTATTGTTTTCATGATCACATTTGTTTGTATACTTTTTAATAGTGTAGTTGTTCATTTTAAAACAAAATTTAGTAAACATTTTAAGTTAGGTTAATTTTTAATATGCTCACATACAGATTTAGTCCATTTTAATAGTTAACTTCAATTTCTGATAAAGAGGTTGAATGATATGGAAAGGTACTTCAGAAGTATATTTTCAGAATTTTACGCCAAATACCTAATGAAGTGATGATCGTTGTCTTTAATTTCTTTCCTATAACTTTTCGATTGAGAACAGGCAACTACCACTGTATGATTTGTGGTAAGTTGTGTTGATGCATATTTATGCTAAGACCTACATTCATTATAAATGGCTATCTTTAGTTATGACTGACTTCAAATAAAAGGAATTCGTTAACGTAGACGGTTATATTATCATTAGCGATTGTTAATGAATAGGACCGATAAGAGATTGTTTTGTAGGATCTGTTTATATTTCGGTAATGCACTGATTTTTTGGTTTCTATGTGTTGGGATGTATATAAGAAACGAGAGGTTAAAATGGTCCCTTCATGTTAGTTTTACAATGAAATGTCATTCTTAGGACTGTTTTACATCTATATGAGGTTCAAAAGCTTGATAAAATATTGCACTGTAGACTGTACCTGTCACAAAAAGAAAAATATATGGTTCATTGATTAGTCATATATCGCATTTAAAACAATTTATTCCTTGTCAACCGGAATCCCGACCGTAGCTGCTACCTTGACGTGGTGGTCGGGCTTGCCTATCGTGATGACTCAACTGAGCTATACTGGCTGGAACATATGTTCCTGCAGGTCCTACCATGCTAGGCTGGTCGATTGGAGAACCATAAGACTAAAAGCAGCTACTGAAGGTCTGAGGGCGAAGTCGTACTGCTGACTGCAGAGGGGTGTGACAACAGTAAGATGTTTCCCTCGAACAACCAGCATCTGCAGCGATGCTGCCTTCTCACAAGGAAGGAAGGGTTAGGAAAGGTCGACCCTGAAAATGTCACACCTCATCCTATCTCACGGATTTCCGTCTTTGTCGGTAAGGGTTCCCACTAAGGGCTTTTAAGAGCGGAGCTAATACTCAAAAACCTTTAATAAAAAGGCCGTGCGTGACCGGCTTCAAGCAGTTGTCCCCTGGTCTCTGCAGTCACGCACCCAGGTCTCTAAGACCAACACTAATCTATCTTCCTTTTCAGGTTCCTCAAGAAACAACCTTCCACGGTGTGGGCAGCCGGGAAGTGACAACCGCCCTCATACTTGTGACAGCATACGAAACCAAATTGGTCACAAACAAATCCTTCCTGGACTTCCTGGACCTAAAAGCGGCATTTGACTCAGTGGATCGTGAGGTTCTGTGGCAGTGTCTGTTATTGAAAGGTGTACCAGAGAAGTACATTAACCTTATACTAGCTCTCTACTCGAACACCACTGGTCGAGTGAGAGCTTATGGCGAACTGTCATCGGAATTTTCTACATCAAGTGGTGTCTGTCAGGGCTGTCCACTCTCTCCAATCTTGTTTAGTTTTGTCATCGATATGCTCCTAGAAATAACCTTATCCTCGTCTGAATTTTCAGGAGTAGACCTTTCACCAGGTGGCTCGCTTATTGACTTAGAATATGCCGATGATATAGTCCTACTTGGTGAAGACGATGAAACAATGCAGAGTCTTCTGACCACCCTGAGCAACAATGCAAGCATGTTCGGGATGCGGTTCTCACCCTCGAAATGCAAAATGTTGCTTCAAGATTGGCTTGCGTCGGCACCTGAACTAGTGATGGGGAGTGAAGCAGTTGAGCGTGTTGCTGATAGCCTGGTGACTGACGACGTCTCAGCTCGGATACAGAAGGCTCGATTGGCTTTTGCTTACCTGCGTCACTTATGGCGTAGGCGAGATATCCGTTCGCTGACCAAAGGACGGGTGTACTGCGCAGCAGTTCGCTCCGTTTTCCTATATGGATGCGAAACATGGCCAGTGAGGGTAGATGTTCGTAGGTTACTAGTATTCGATCATAGATGTTTAAGAAGCATTGCTCGTATACCGTGGGACAACCGAGTAAGCAATCCTGTTGTTAGGAAACGGGTGCTAGGTTAGGATGGCAGGTCAATAGATGTGAAGTATTTAAACTTCATCAGTTGAGGTGGTCGGGACATGGTTACGTATGCATAACCACTGACTGCCTCGTTGAGCTATATTTTGTGATGTAGGAATAGGTTGGACGAAAGCTAGCAGCGGCCAGACCAAAAACATGGCAGAGATCCGTGAAGTTTCTGACAAGTGGACTGAGTCATGTTAACAGATGTAGACTACCTGGTTGGGGTCCACGAGACGAAAGTCACCAATGGTTAGACACCTTGAACGACATGGCTGAAAACCGTTTGCAATGGCGCAATTGCATCCATTCATTGTGCTCTCTCAAATCCTAATCTTCTGGATTCGTCGTCAACACCCCTACCTTTGTCTTTCTAACCTTATCTCACTGAATTATATTTCTTGAATAATATCTTCAAACCCTAGTCTTCTTCATTACAATTAATACTTCTACTATCTTTATCACTATGAGATTTGATTTGACATTTGCGTCTTTGTGTTAATGTGGTGTGGCAACCTGACCTTATGTACGTACGTACGAAGTTCTACGTTGCAACTGACTGAGCTGTCAACCGGAATAGTATATCGATGTAACTCATCCGACTCTTTATGAAGTCGAGAAAGCCACAGGGAATATAAAGCAAGGGAAAGCAGCAAGGTCTGACAGGCTTATTTCGGAAATTTTACAGGATTATGTTCCATTTTTAGCATTTAGACTGACTGAGATCTTAGGTAGAATTTTGGAACTGGACATAATCCCATCTAACTGGTCTCAATCACAGATTTTTTCCAATTTATAAAAAAAGGACAAAAGTCCTCTCATGACAGTCACAGAGGGATCAGTTTAACTAATGTAGTGTCTAAATTGTTAGCCTCAATAATACTTAGACAGCTCGTGAGGAGCACACTAGAGAAAACCAGACTTATTTCAGACCTGGACGTGGCTGTATAGACCACATTTTCACACTACGTCAGGTCCTAGAACACGGACACATTTCGGCGCCCGACAACAGTTGTCTTCCTTGACCTTAAAACATCATTTGACTCAGTGGATCGTGAGGTTCTGTGGCACTGTCTGTCATTATAAGGTGTACCAAAGAATTACATTGACGTTATACAGGTTCTCTACTCGAACACCACTGGTCGAGATAGAGTTTATGGCGAACTGTCAACATAATCGATTACTTTAAGTGATATTCGTCAGGTCTGTACACTTTCTCCTTCCTTTTTTAACTTTGTCATTGACGTGCTTTTAGAGGCGACAGTTTCGTCATCTGACTTTTCATGCGTTGAATTTCTACCGGGAAATTCGTTTTTTGACTTAGAATATGCTGATAACATAGTTCTATTCGGTGAAGATGCTGACGAAATGTAGTCTTCTGAGTACCTTAAGCAATAATGCAAGCATGTTCGGGATGCAATTCTCTCCGTCGAAATGCAGAATGTTACTTCAGGATTGGCTTGCATCGGCACCTGAACTAGCGATAGGGAGTGAATTTGCTGAGCATATTGACCGTTTCTCTTATCTTGAGAGTCTCATCTATCCTGATGGTCTGGCCTGACGGAATCTCAGCACAGATGCAGAAGGCTCGATTTGCTTTTGCCAACCTGCTTCACTTATGGCGTAGGCGAGATATCTATCTGCTAACCAAAGAACGAGTGTACTGCACGTCAGTTCGTTCCCTCCTACAGTATGGGTGTGAGACACGGCCAGTAAGAGTTAAGGATATTCATAGGTTACTAGTTTTCGACTATAGATGCCTTCGAAGTATTACTCGTTTTTCGTGGGACCGCTGAGTTATCAGCGCAGTTGTAGGAAACGGTTCCTAGATAAGGATGGCAAATCAGTAGATGAAGCATTGAAACTTCACCATTTCAGGTGGTTAGGATATGTGTTACGTATGCCTAACCACTGATATCAACAGCACTACTGAAAAAGTGATACTCTCTCTATTTTTATAGTCCCTTTCTTTCTTAAATTTTCTAGCATTTTGTTCTACTTATCACATACTGATCGTAGATGATGGTTGAAGACCAGGTAGCACTGGATAGCCATGTAGAACTCCTCAGTAATGAGCATCTACTACCTTATCGGCGATCGAACTCAGTACCTTCCGTCTAGTATTTATGTAGTTGACATTCTTATTTGGTTTTGTACAAGCAATCTTGACAAGTGAATTTGTGGTTAGATAGCTTAGAATGAATTGCATTATAATACCATAGTTTTCAAACCAACTTCACCCCTTCTTTACACTATTCAAATTTTAATGATAATATTGACACTACCTTCTAGTTACTATTTTATATAATCCCATTTCTTCGTACAGGTTGTGAATTATTAAAAGTTATCTTGCATAAACACTCAAATCTTCTCACTATATCAAATAAAAAAGGAATAAAAGCTATCGATTTACTACAGGAATTATGGAATTATTCTTCAGAAACTGAACGAGAAATTGGCGATAATGTAAGCTATTCACAATTCAATTTTAATTCACACCTTTAAGTAAATTCCTAAAAACTTCTGTCGTTATCACTATAAATATTTCAGTAGATAATTGTGTACAGTGTTTAATACTGAAATGTGCTCTGTATTATTGTAATACGTGATCGGAGACAATTTACACAGAACCCTGGATCTAGGTCTCATGCTAGTTAGTAATCGTCACCAAGGTCTACATAGAGTTTTTAGTGAACTGATTGCTATTCATGGGATCCATACCACTCACTACTCATTGTTGCAGATATTACTTTTTGACCACTCCAGTAGCCATTGACATTCTCTTGGAAGGATATATTCAAACTGACTGATCACTAATTAGTAAGCAATGACATGTTTATCTAGATCTAAGTGTTCAGCTAATTCTTTGTTCGATGCGATTTAGTAGTTCTCATAATTTGAGATATTTACTTTTATAATGACGATTATTTCCTCATGGTTTATTGTATCAAATGCGTGCTTCATATCACTCGTAAAATACATTGCCTACTCTGTTGTAATATCTCGATACATTTTTAACGTATGACCGAGGTACAATTGATTTTCTAAACTGTGTTAATGTAATCTGTTCTGGTCTTTCTTTTTGCATGATAAATTATCTACTTGTGGAACATGACGTAATTTTCATCTAACGCAATTGATTGACCTAACTACGAACTTAGTTGACATTATAGGTTACGGTTTTCTGACTTAACCTTTGGGAAAGCTATTTTTAACCTAGTTTCTAGTTATCTCCTAGTTACTATTGTAATTACTTTGTCATGTCAGCTTCTCGTAAGTTAGATTTTAATTCCCTACAAAAAATGAACTCTCAAGTTATGTAACTGATTTGTAACTTTTATATTTGATATATCCAGCACACGAATTGTGTGGGACATCGACTTTGTCGCTGATTTCTGGACTTTTGTGGTCTTTGTGGTTATTCACAATGCTTTTTATGTCCACGAAGTGTGTCATAACTATTACTTTCAGTCATGTCACTAATTTAGCAGGTGAGTACAGCATACTATGGTGTAATTTTCACAAAAACTCCCCCTTCAGAGGCTATAGTTATTCACAACTGTCTGATGTGAATATATCACTGTAGCATAGTCCGACATGCTCTATGTAAAACACAATTTTCATAAAAGTTAGAGCTTCAAATTAGATCCAATAAGAATTACAATGTATGATATGCAGTACTCACTAAATCAACGAGGGGAAAATACCCACAGTGCTGGTTAAAACATATTGACGAACTTTTGGATAACCTCAGCTAGAACTACCTGTTTATAGATGGATTTTATTAAATTTTGTTTATTTCCTTTCAATTAGATTATAAAAGGTATCTTATTCGATGATAACAACAACAGCAGTACTTCGACTATCTACACTACTAATCATCCATCGTCGTCATCATCATCATCATCACACTTATTCAAAACGATGAGAAATAATGATACAGTGTATTCATTTTTATCAGATTCCGATGAAGCAAACAATTCATCAAATGAATGGGAGGATTATTTTTCAGGTAATTATAAAAATACTCAACAAATGTTACAGTATTCTTTTTTCTTTATAAATACTAAAAGATTAGAATTTTTATTTGAATTGAGTATTAACGAGTTCCGCTGAGCCTAATGATTCATAAATCATGAAAAAAATGATTACCAGTATGTATAAACCAATTCACTGTACACTTTCATCTGAAATGAAATATTACTCAGTTGTATGATAAGTATGCAACAAGCCCGATTTCCTCAAACATTAACTATTTTCTTGATGCAGATATAATCTAAGATAATGAAACATCGTTGTTGTATATCTAATTAGTTTTTATTTTTCATCTAACTTACCGAAGGATTTATTCATAATGTGACGACTCTCTTATTGACTTGTGGTATTTAAGTGACATAGTTTTTGTTTTACTTAAATGACCTAATGATAAACAGTCTTATTTCTTTCATGGATTTTGTTTTTTTTCATACAGCCTTTAAAACTGAAAACATTCATTCAACTAGGTTTTTAGTGTAATAATGTTACAACTTTGTTGAGAATATTGCAGGGCAATCCGGTCTTAGTCAGATTAGTAATAACGACTAATTATTCAAGATATCTATTTCTAATAACTTGTTATTTAACCTAAATCATTAGAAATCTCAGGTTGCGTTTAGTTATAAGAACTTTTATGTTGTTATTTTGTCACATTTTTCTATTCGCTGACTTTTCCTTTCGAAATCACTTTTCTTTGTTAACTTAAAAATCTCATCTTAGGTTTTTCTGATAAACCATTTAAATCGCATTTGGATAGTATCAAAGAGGAGTTTGAACATCGTAATCGAACTACCGGTGTATCTCATAAACCCCCGAAGTTGCAACAACCAGAAAGCCAAAAAAGTAAATACTCTGAATCCTATGAAACGTTGGGAGCAGGTGAAGGATTATCAGCTGCGAGATCGATAAAACATAATTCAAAGCAGAATCTTCTCGAAAACTCCTATGAGACTTACCTAAAGAAATGGAAACAGTTCTTAAGCTCAAACCTAAGTACCCTTCTTAATTATAATGATATACCATGGCCTCCTTTCTGTACAGTTAACCAAACAAATTCAATAGAATCATTGCATATCGAAAACATTTTGAAATTTGTTCAATACTCAAGTCAGTCGTTACGTCAGTTACAAATTGATTGGCATCCGGATAAATTTTCTGCACGTTTTGGAACACGTTTTAAATCTGAGTCTGTAAAAATAAGAGTTATGAAACGCGTTGTAAATATATCTCAACTTTTAAATAAAGCTACTGATTGTTTACGCAACAAAGAAGAAGCTAAATAATCAAGAAGAATGTCATTATTTGTTGTGGTTTTATTAATTGTTTCATATCTAATTCTTTTCTGTAGGTGAAATATTCAACACAAGAATTTTCGACAGATGGAAATAATTTGGCTGGAAGGTTACCTCTGACTTAAATAGGGTCCTAGATGAAATATTATCTTTGTGTAGGGGATTTTCATCCCATTTAACTCCAAATGATAATATATCAGTTTTTCTGTACTGTTTATAGCTCTGGTAACCTAGCTAACATGGCATATATAATGACCCTTACTGACTGATTGAGAACCGAAACTCAAACTTCTGGAGAATGTATGCTTATTCCAATACAATACCAACATGATGATGATTGTGTATATATCTGACAAAAATCACATCCACGGAGAGCCTGGTAGTGTAGTTGATGCTAAAAAAATTAAGTTTAAACCGATAACATTTTATATGACACTCGTTAACTCATGTAAACTGTTTCTAGTCTTCCGTATCGCAGTAGCCTAGGTTCGCATACCCTCAAACATCTAACTGAACTTTTCAGAAGTGTACACTGTGTTTGTTGATCTATTGATCAAATGCAAACATTCCTCCCGTTTTTTTACTGGTTGCTTGCTCTGGTTTTCATGAAGTAAGTTGTCTTATAAATCTTGGTATTTTAACTCATTTTCGCACTATCTGGCGACGGCGGGTGCAGCAGTGTTTTTGTCTTTAAGCAATACAAAGTAGCTCTAGAGTCAGATATAAGCCGATGTTTCATTCTGGGCCAATCTTTTTTCAAGAAAAACCTTGTTTCCACCGCAATCCAGCCACTAGTCAATGCTTTCAGGCTTAACTTCTGCAGTTTCTTAGTAGTAAGAGAATCGTGCCTATACATATAGATTGCGAACAAGATAAGGAAATGATGAGTTTTGAAATGTTTCACTATAATTAGTTGTTTAGGTTCTCTGAAGACCTAACAGTTCTCCCATAGTGTCGTTTAAGGTCCCCTATCGGATACCAGTTAAGTTTCGTTGTAGAAGTTATTTACCGAGAGAGTCGTTCGTTTGTGTGTCATGGTAATCAACAGAGAAATGGTCTCTTTATAGGTGGATAGCTTTTGGCTGATCCATGTTCATATTGTCCTCAGTCCAGTTCTTATCAGTGGTTTAGTACTTAGGTAACTGAACGCATTTGTGGTATTTGAATGAACTAGTAACTTCTTGTTGTTGTCGAATGCTTGATTTCGAATTCTAAATACAATACATTCGTTTGTGCATATCTTTAGTTCTTGATTCACAGACTTCTAATTATCACAGCATTACATTTGTAAGCCTTCTCAAATATGAATTTAGAGCTACATCTGATGAAGCATAGGACGGATCCAGAAATTCTCCTGATGATTGGAGAGTAGTGTCGTAAACGATTTCACCTGCAGTGCGCCTACCGTTGGCCTTCATTATATTGTGAATTCCGAATAACACGAGTAAAAGAGAGTCAGTCTAGTGTAACATGTTGGCATTTGAAAGTGGTAATAGTGATAGTAATGACAGTTAAAGGACAATCTAAGTTTTCCAACCCTTGTTCCACAAAGACGCAGGCGACTGTTTCAGCAGCAATATCCTTGACTGGCGCTTCATCTGGCCATCATTTGAAACAATCTACACACTTAAGGAGGTAAGTATGTCCGTTTGTTTCTGTACGGGTCCTGCTAAGTCAAGATAAACAAGACTGATGTGAGCATCAGTAGTTTAGAAGATACCTCAGGGATGTTCGTTATGCCTAATTACGTTATATTTTTATCAGCTTACCCACGGGCACGCCCACTTCCTCATGTCTGTGTCCATACTAGACCATCAAAATCGTTCTGCCATCAGCTTTAAGGTTGCTCAGACACCAGGATAAGAAAGTTTGTGCAACATATTAAAGACATTACATCAATAATTTTCCGGCACGATTGGACGATCCAGCGGGTGTATCACAAAGTAGTTTCCCTACCCGTTACCACCTGTTTGATTTGTATTTCGAGGGTCGTCCGTGATAACTCGTGAAGAAGATCAGCGTCTTCTTTTTAAGGCTGAGCAAATTTAGGAAGTCGATCCCTTTGAAACTGTTCGGGGAAGTTAAATGACACAAGCAGTCTGTAACTACATTGTTTGCCCCGGAATTTTGTTGGATATCTGAAGTGAACTGTGAGGTGTAGTCAATTTTACAGGAATCTTGAGGAGAGTACTTGTCAAAGGCGAGCTAAGAGAAGAGGTAAGAAGTTCGTGGTCCGTTGAAATAGTGAATTCCTGTCCTTCCACCGAGTATCAAAAGTGTTGTACAGCACAATACGCAGCTAAGTGTTCCCTTCTGAAAGAGTTACATCTCAACTCAATGTCCCGCAACCGTCTTGAGTAGAATGCTAAAGTTTGTCAGGTACTGTTTACTTATTTTTGTAAGACTACTATGATTTCTGAATCTGATGCATCTACTGAGATACTTATGGGTTCTTTGGTGTTGAGGTGTACCAACATTGTTGAACTGACGGTATGTTTTTTCACTAAACATAATTCTTTCCTCGCAGTGTTTTTACACATGATGTTTGTTACTGTTTCTGGTAGTGGTAATACTTTATTCTCAAACAACATGTTACAAGAGGCTTGCCAGTTTTTGGGAACGTACTTTGAAGGTTAGGTTTTTTCACGTGATTTATCTTTCTTATTTTCAGATCGTTTTACGATATCTATAAACTAACGTTTTCTATCCACATATCGGTTATTCTTATTTTAGCTTTTTACTGTAGTTTTTGGCTTCAAACGTTTGGTGCTTTAGGAATATTGAACTCACTCCTACCTTTAGGCGATTTCCTTTATGAAGTTAGGTTTAAACAGACACCGTCTATATAGTAAAAATTCTACTTACAAATGACTCTACGAACATGTCACGTCTATCTAAAAAACATTTTGCCTGTCTCATACAACACCTGTAAAAGACCCAAACCCTCTACTAATTTGATTAAAGTAAACTTCATAATAACGCTGATCCATCCATATCGTACTCTGATCTTCCTACCGTCAACTTGGACACTACCTCTCTCTACGTTTTATTCCGCTCATAGATGCAAATACAACTAACCCAAAACCTAGGTACTTGACATTATCCACTGCTTCCTGTATTTTATGCGAAACAGGAATCTGGGAGCACCTACTAGATAATGCGATTGGTCTTAAACGATTGGCGAGCCCACCAGCGGATACAGTATATAGCAACCCACAGATTGTCGGTAAGTCTGTCCGCAACATGAGATCCACTGATGTAGATCCGGATTATGCGCCCAAAGATATACCTCAGATGAATATACTCAGATTAAGCAACCAATTGTAACAAGTCTCATCACAGTCCCATTGACTCTAACAGCTGCAAAGTTCACCAAATTATAAAAAATGAAATTAGAAGTGTTAGAAAGACTTCCGTGTATGTAAAATACAATTGTGAGCAAGAAAGTCTGCTCACTATCATTACTACTCAGGACATTGCTAAGCTTTTCAAAGTAAACCCGAGAGTCAGGATAAACCACAACTACCTCCCTAAACTCTAATCTTAAGCACCTCCTTATTTCCAATCCAAAGCCTACAATCTTTTTAATTGGGCAAAAAATGTCTGTAATAACGACTGTTACTTAGAAAACCCATAATTCTAGCCTGCTTGAGCGTCCGCATAATCTTCCTAGACACCACCCTAGCCTAAATACCTCTTACAACTCTTCAATCCCTCCTCCAAAACTTGAAATCTCACCCATTTTTGACGCAACCCCCCTCAACGAAGTCGTTTTTTATTTCCGGCGATATTTCCACCTCCTGCAAGTCATCCTCTACATACTGTGATGTAATGGATGACAAACAATCTTTGCCACTATTAGCATTTTCTGGTCGTAATGCTTTATGTTTGGCCCACCTAATACATCTTCCACCGACTTGACCTATCCCACTCTGGATCTTCAAAACGATCCGTCCTTATCCTTTCTAGCGACTTTATCATCTGTTCTTCGAGGTTTGTCGGTTAACTTGGAACAACTATATCTGACATATTTTATCTCACATGCTTCTCTCACCACATTCATCCTCGAATACCTCTCTCCCACTAACTACATAGTTCACAAATCAACCGAAAGCAGTTATGCAGCCTATATTCCTACTTCCCGCCCTTCACACTACACAGCAAAAAACCTTATCAGATACCTATTGGGCTTACTTAAAATATAAGCACTCATCCCATGTAATACTAATGCTAATTAGTCCACGATCTGTAATCACTAAGATGACCCACCTAGGCTCACTAGTAATTCTAAACAACCCTTCACTTGTCCTTACTACCGAAACATCAAAGCAGAAACGTTTAGTGATAATGTTCTTCATAAAGTGCTTGATTCGATATGGCTCACTGTGCACGCCCATGAATGCAAAATACTGGCTGGATGTATATAAATCGAGCTCCGAATACCCATCGATCGATTGACATTGTTATTGGTCAGTCGTTTACTAGGTCTGCCTCTCTTGAATTCGCCTGCAAAATTACTTGTGGTTACTTCAACCACCCTGGGATCAACTGGCTTATACATTACGGTCCACTAGGCTTTGAAAGTATACTTAATCCCTTAGACCCACATGGCTGGCAACAACATATGCACCTGCTGACAAGAAACCACAACATTCTTGACTTCGTATTTTGTCATGATGTTACACCAACATCTGCGATGATCTGAGAAAAGTTTCACAACAGCGACCATAAACTAGTTATCTGCACCCTACCTTTTCTTACAAGATGCGACAAACAAAAAATGACAATGCGTTTTCTGCACAGATTATAAACATGCTGACTGGGACAGCTTCCAGTGCATTCATTGCTAGCTTTGAACTCTCTGAAGCATTACATATATTCACTGTCACCATCAAATCTTCGCTGGGCACTACTATTCCCTCCAAAACGTCTTTCATCACAATGAGTCGTTATGTCACCCCTAAACTCAGAGCTAAACTACGTAAACTTAG